TTTTAATAAATATTTTAAAAAATACTAACTAGTTAATATTTTATGTTTTCTATTATAAAGTAATCAATTTATTCTTTTGTTTTTATATTTTGTTAATTATTTTTATAAATATTTTATTTGAAATATTAAATAGAAATTATCAATGGAATAATCTATATTAATATACTGTATTATATTAATATAATATATTTTTAATGTACATTAGTCGACATCTTGTCGACATAATAGGAAAAACTGTATTCTTTTTGGTTATTTGGACCGATTTGGTCGACATATTGTAATTTTTATATTACCATCCATTTCCATGTCGGGGAGCCTCAACATCGACATATGTCGGGCAACAATAGCGACATTTGGCGACATTTGAAACCATGGGGTTAAATGAGGGGATCTTGAGCTACAATTTGGTGGGTAGGCATGGATTAAGGGGAGGATTCAAGTGGATGGTTTTGATTTGAGAAGGATATGGTCAATCTTGGTAATCATTCAGGGTCATGGGATCTTGGTAGATTTGTGGTGGGATTCGCTAGTTGATTACTTCCTAGTGATCTTGGGGTGATGGATATGTTGGATTTGATTTTGGAGGAGTTGTGATTTGGATATCGCATATATCGAGACCGTTAGAAAGGAAGTTGGTGTGATGAACAATGGATCTTTAGAGTTTAGTCATGAAAATTGATGTGTAACTAGGTTGTACTTTTCAAAGTCTAGGGATGATGTCTGATCGGATGTTGATATTGATCTCAAGGCTCTTATTTGTTTTGTGGGTTGTGTCAGAGGAGGGTATTTCGGATTTTGGGAAGTGTTGAGTTGATCTGGTTATGTTTCTGAGTATCTGGGGTCTAAGAGGAGGGTACCAAGAGGTGGGGTGAAGGGACTGAATAAAAAATGGGTGCTAACAACCATTGTTAAGAATTGAGTAATGGATAGAGCTATCACAACCTTCAATCCACAATCTCCACTTTGCTCCGAATACAAGCCTCTCTAGTATTTCTAATAAAACTTTCCAGTCCATTAGGTATTTAGGTCGTAGGCTTTCTCTAAATCCACTTTACACACCAAACCATTCTCTCTGTTATTCCTCTTTTCGACAAACACTCAGTAGCCACTACAATTTGATCCACAATTTGCCTTCCACAAAAGATGGGACAGTGGGGGGATGTATTCGGACTTGTCATTACTCTATTTTGGTGAATGGGACAGTGGAGGACTTTTTTTCTAGCGTTGAGAGGAATTAGACAAGGTGACCCTCTTTTCTCCTTTTTTATTTACCCTAGTTGCAAAAGTGTTGGGGAGGCTAATCTCTAGAGCAGATTCTACGAACCTAATTAGGGGGTGGAGAGTTGGAAGGGAGAATGTACCACTTACTCACTTGTAGTTTGTAGACGATACAATTATTTTCTATGAAGGTGGGAATATTGATTGGATTAGGAATCTGAAACTCACTATACAACTTTTTGAGCAAATGTCAAATCTTAAAGTAAATTTTGAGAAAAGTAAGTTGTATAGTGGGGGTTAATTTAGGGGAAGGGGAGATACTGGAGTGTGCTGATAGTGGGGGTTATTTTGGAGTGTATAGTGTCCAACTGCCCCTTAAGTTACCTTGGCCTGCCTTTAGGAGATAATCCACAGAGAGGGGGCTTTTGGACCCCAGTAGTGGAGAGATTTGAGAAGAGACTTGCCTCGTGGAAGAAAAAATTTCTCTTGGAGGGAGAATTACCCTAATAAGGTTTGCGTTACCTAACTTGCTTGCTTACTTTTTTTCGGTATTTAAGATCCCGACAGGAGTGGCTAGTAAGCTAGAAAAGTTAATGAGAGATTTCCTTTGGGAACCAGGGAAAGAGAAAAAGGACCATAGGGTTGGGTGGGAGGTGGTGTGTAGGAGCAAGAACAAGGGAGGCCTTGGCATTGGGAACATAAGGAAGAGGAATTTGTTTTTATTAGGGGAATGGTTGTGGAGGTTCTCATTGGAAAAAGAAAAGTTGTGGGTTAAGGTAATGGGTAGTATTCACGGGCTTGCAGAGAATGGATGGGACTTTGGCATTCTGGCAAGGGCTACAAGGGCATCTCCATGGAAAGCAATACAAGCTATTTTGCCTCAGTTTTCAATTTTTCTCCTTGGATCAGGTATGACTTGCATTTTGGCCACCTTATCAAATTCTGGGAATAAGTTTGGGTTGGGGATTCCCCTTTAAAAGAACAGTTTTCGGCTCTCTTTGCTATCTCTACCTTCAAGAATGAACCAATATCTACCTTCCTCGTACCATCTAACTCTACCTCCGGGTTTTGTTGGAATTTGGGACTGGGAAGAGATATCAGGGACACGGAATTGGATAGTACCTTATCCCTTGTTTCAATCTTTGATGGGATTTTCTTGGAGCCATCAAAGGTAGACATTAGAATTTGGACCCTCTCTCCCTCTGGTACCTTTACTTGTGCATCTTTCTTTAGAGCCATAACACAACCTACTACTGTTCTTATTGGCTTGTCTTTCCTTGTTAAAGAGGTGTGGTGTAAAGCTATTCCTCCAAAGGAGGAAGTTTCTGTTGAGAGGCTTTTCTGGAAAGAGTTAATAGTTAATACAGGAGATTTGCTTCAAAGAAGAAGACCCAATAGATGTTTGTCTCCTCATTAGTGTGTCCTCTGCAAAGCTGTTGGTGATTCTGGGTTTCACCTACTAATTTCCTGTCAATTTGCAAATTCTCTTTGGGAATGGTTTACTTCTTTGTTTGGGTGCAGGTGGAACTCTCCAACGAATGTGCAAAGCTTGTTTACCTCCTTTCCTTCTAACCAGCCAACAAAAAGGGCAAAGATAATGTGGAGATGTGTTAGGGCTGCAGTGTGTTGGTCTATCTGGGAAGAAAGGAACTTAAGGATCTTCTCAGGGAAGGAGAGAATTGTGGAAGCAGTGATAGAAGTGATTCATGTAAGGGTAACTCATTGGCTGAAGACTTTGGACCTATTTGCAGAAATTTCAGTAGATGACCTTCTTAGGAACTGGAAGGAAATTGCAGATTCAGTTTCAGCTAGGAAGGTCTCAAGCTCTTACTGGACCCCCCACCTCTTGGTTTTGCCAAACTGAATTTTGACGGCAGCAGCATGGACAATCCAGGGCCCTCCGGAATTGGGGGGTCATGAGGGATGAAAAAGGGAATGTGCTAGCCATGTTTTCTGGGCCAATTGGAATAGGAAACTCTTTGAGGGCTGAGATTTTAGCAGCTTTGGAAGGGATTCAAAGGGCTAAGGATTTGCACATAAACAAGCTGATCATAGAAGGGGACTCTGAGACTGTAATAAACTGGTTAAAAGAAGACAACTCAAGATTATGGAGCTACAGCAATGAAAAGAGGAAATTTAAATGGTTGACAAAAGACATGGAAGTTCAATGCCCATGGATAAAGAGAAGTGCAAACTCTTTTGCAGATGGCTTAGCTAGACAAGGGATAAAATAGGAATTCTGTTTTTTGGGCTCAGCTGTAATTGTTTTTGTTTTTTGGTGTCTAGTGACAATTATGGGGAGTCAAGCTATTTTAGCTCCCTTTCTATGTATTTTCAGTCTTTAATCATTTAATGAAATCTTTGTTATTGATAAAAAAAAAAAAAAACCTTCCACAAAAGCACCTTGAAAGGGTGAGATCATTTGGGGTAAGACCTGCTTAAGCATCTCCAATGGAACCTTTGAGTTGATTTTATAGAGACCCGAACTAAATTTATTGGTCTAAAATCTTTTGGGGCTTTGTCACCAGTGCAATAAAAGTGGCATTTACCCCTAGGGAGATCTCCCTTTGTGTAAGATTATATCAAAGACTCCTAAGAGGTCCGATTTCAAAAAAAAAAAAAAATCCCAACACTTTTGGTGGAAAGCCATTGAGAAACCATCCTGCCTGGGGACTTTGGATCTCTCCATTGAGCAAATAGCTTCCTTAATATCTTCCACAAGGAAATTTCTTTCTAATATCAGGGATTGATCCTCTGAGATTCTGTTCCAATCCACATCTGGAAAGCCTAACCTAACCCCAACTGAATCTGAAAAAAGAGCTTTAAAATGATTCACAAAAATCCTTGTAATCCCTTGAGCTTCTCTTATCTCTTGATCCTCCACCTCCACATTGTGAATGGTGTTTTTACCATTTGCAAGTGACTGAAAAGCTTAGTATTACCATCCCTTCCCACAAGCCATTTACACTTAGATTTTTGTTTCCAACAAATTTCTTCCTTAAGATCTCTTCTAGTTCTTGCTTTTGCCTCCATCTTTCCTCTTCTGATAAAATTCTGAGAGCCTCTTTCCTATCCAACTCCTCTATCCTTGAGGTTAATTTTTCTTTGATTTCTTCTACCCTTACGAAGTGCTCTTTGTTCCAGACTTATTTTTTCCTTTAATCTCTTTAGATTTCTGGCAAAACCTTCAACCTCTCCTTAAAAGAAGGATCTTCAAACCACATGTTCTCAAATTCACTATTATTTGTGCTGTTGCATATGACAAATGTATCAGGTTACTGATTAGAAAAAGATAGTTCTTTCTTTCATGGTATAAAAATTCCTTAAATTGTATACTTCATATGACCATGATGGCCTATTATACCAAAAGCCATACTTCAACATCCCCATGTTACATTTACGTTTTCTATGTAATTATTTTGGTTTCCCTAAATTAGAAAGATACAAGGATTTGAAGTTAATGGGATAAATTACCATGCACTGAATGCAAGATAAGTACAAGATTGCTGACTACAACTAAACTTTTGCTGCTATATTTGCCCACTGTAATTTTATAGGTTTGATTCATTTGCAGTGGCCTAGTCCATTGGTGTTTCTATCCTTATTTTTTCCTCTGATATTCTTCATTAGGAACAACTCCTTCCTTAACAATGATATAGAGTAAGACTCACTAGACATGCCTTTTGGCAGAATTGGTCAGGAAACACTGATGGAAGACAACTGGGCTGATGATGAAATAGAGTTGGAACTTGCTCCAATTGCTGTCCAGCTGGCATATGTTCGGCAGGTGACTGTTGTAACATTTATTTATTTATTTTTTCCGTTCGTTGATTTTCCTTTCAGCATCTAGTAATGCAAATTCTTTAATTTCTTCAGCTACTCGGATATCCCCAAGAAGCCATTGAAGCTTACATGAACATCATAAATCGGAATCTGGTTGATGATTCTTCACTTGCAGTGGCAATAAACAATCTTGTTGCGTTGAGGGGTTCCAAGGATGTTTCTGATAGCCTCAGAAAACTTGATCGCTTTATAGAGAAAGGTAGTGTGGCACAGAGCTTCCAGCTTACTCATGGACTTGATTTGAAGCTTTCACCCAAACAAAGGGAGGCAATATACTCTAACCGTGTTCTTCTACTTCTCCATGCAAATAGGATGGATCAGGTTCGTTATCTGCAACTGTGCAAACTTTTCTGTTGTTTTCTGTTGAATTCATAAATAGAGGATTTCTAGAAGCTCAACCCAAGATAGTCCTTATCCCAGCTATATATTATTAGCTACAAAAATCTTGTTTCACTATTCTACTCTATCAAGGATCATATCCATTGTTTAACTTGTGTCTTTTATGGCAATTTTGAAATCTATAATCTATAATTCTTCTAAGATTAATGGTACTGTCAACATTCCAACCTGCCCCCTTGGTTCTGCCCATGCATATATATAAATCCTTTTACTACTCAAATGGGTTTATAGAATTTTAAGTGATTCTTATGCCCTTCCTAAAAAGTGTCATTGGTATTGCTATTGAGTTTTATATAGAGAGAGAAATTTGGAATCTTGCTGGTTATTGATATGGGGAGTAGAAATCTATTTTAATTGAATTTTACTTGTTAGTTCAACCACCTGTCTTCATTTGTGAGTTTCCTTGTAAAATAATTATGACTTGTAAGAATTCAGGTTGAGTTCCAAAATCAGCTTTTTCTTTTTCCTCTGTATTTGTTCGAATTAGGCAGTGTTTGTTGATTTGCTCAGGGAAAAGCTAATGTTTTCAACATTCACAAAAATGTAGGAATTTCAAGAAATCAAGGCACACTTAAATTTTAACTGCACAATGCATAGACTAGTTATAGGTGAAAGTGGTTTAATCAAATTAAGCATATTCAGATACATTGTATTTTTTTCAGCTAGTTCTCTCCTTCAATTTCTTTGACTAAGTCTTGCATCATTCTATGAATTTGTTAACAGGCTCGGGAACTTGTATCTGCCCTTCCAGACATGTTCCCAGATAGTGTGATGCCAGTACTGCTTCATGCAGCAGTGTTGGTGAGAGAGAACAAGGCAGGAAGAGCTGAAGAAATCCTTGGGCAGTTTGCAGAGAGGTTCCCCGAGAAATCCAAGGTGGCCCTCCTTGCACGGGCACAGGTTGCTGCTGCTGCCAATCACCCTCAGATAGCTGCAGAGTCTCTAGCTAGGATACCTGATATTCAACACATGCCAGCTACAGTTGCTACACTTGTTTCCTTGAAGGAGCGCTCTGGTGACATAGATGGTGCTGCTGCTGTGCTTGATTCTGCCATCGGTTGGTGGTCAAATTCTATGACTGGAGAGAACCAACTGAAAAAACTCATGCACGAGGCTGCATCCTTCAAGGTCAAGCATGGGCGGGAGGAAGAAGCTGCACACCTGTATGAGAAGCTAGTTAAGAGCCATGGAAGCATTGAGGCTTTAGTTGGACTAATAACAACGGCTGCCCGTGTAGACGTTGAGAAGGCTGAGGCTTACGAGAAGCAGCTAAAGCCACTAGCTGGTTTAAAAGGAATTGATGTGGACAGCTTAGAGAAGACATCTGGTGCGAAGCATGTTGAGGGTAGTGGACATGTAAAGAATGTAGAAGCATATGAGGAGGCGAAGGGAAAGGTTAAAGCAAAGAAGAAGAGGAAGAGAAAGCCCAAGTACCCAAAAGGATTTGACCCCGCAAACCCAGGTCCACCTCCAGACCCAGAGCGATGGTTACCCAAGAGGGAAAGGTCTAGTTACAGGCCCAAGAGGAAGGATAAAAGAGCAGCTCAGGTAAGAGGTTCTCAGGGTGCAGTTGTTAGAGAGAAAAATGAAGCCAATGCTGTCAGTACTAACACCAGTGCTTCAAATCCAAAATCAAACCAACCGACGGCCACTTCCAAATCAGAACAATCCAAGCCTTCATCCAAATCATCAAGAAAGAAGTCGAGAAACTAACTGGGCAAGAAACCAAAATTTTGTTCAAGAATATTGAATTTCATTTTAAATTGAAGTTTTGTTTGCTCTTCAGGGATTATGGAAGCTGTAGTTTATTTGCAAGGGAGTCCTCGTAAAAAATTGTTGGTTTTTAGATTATAATTGCCACCATCATCTTCTCTTTTCTCCACCTATTTAGGTTGTCGGAGGAATTATATATAGATAAGGTTATGATATTGCGTCTTTCCTGCTGGATATTCGGGTAATGTGTGCTTTAGTTCTCTTCAGAGTATTGTTCCTGGTTCTACTTCTCACATTCTCACATTCTCACATTCATTTGGCCAAATATGGGACCTATGGATTGGTCCACCCGTGCAATCAGTTTTTCCATTTGCATTTTCCTTACAAATTACAATAAACAAATGAAGACAAATAATTTTTACTCATCAAATTTTACTTGGGTGCATTTTATACAGGTAAGATGACATTTTGTTGTTTTTGGTGATGTAGCAGTTATTTCTGATTTGAAAAAACAAAATTATATATGCTGATTATCTTTGTAGGCTGTGATCTTTTGGCTGCGCTTGGAAGCAATGTAAAATGTCATCAATGTAAAAGTTTAAGTTGGATGGAGTATTGGAAAGACAATTTTAAGAGATGTATTGGGATACGCTTTAGATATGGATGAAAATTTAAGATATGCATAAATATGGTAGAAAATGTAATTAAATCCTAAAAAATATATTACTAACTATATTTACAAATTTTATATGATTGTAAATAAGTTATTTAAATGTAAAAAGCTATAATTTAATGGTTTATATAAAGTATGACATATCGGGATACAATTAGTAACCGTTTAAAAATGATGGAATAACTAAAATGTAAAAAAAAAACAAAAATGTGAATGTCAATTTTCAAAAACCAATATAATTAATCTTAATATTTATTAGTATATAAATTTTAATAATTAATTCTAACATTTATTAATAAACACTTGTCACTCATTAAGAAAAGTGAAAATTTATTTAAAATAAAATTGGTGAACTTGTGTTTGTTAAAGACAAGTAACTAAGGTTCAAATCTTGTTATTGTTAAAATTTGAAGTTTTTACACTAACAAAATGAAATTAATGGGAGAACTTGAATTAGGCGCTAAAATTCAAATTCAAATTTAAAATTGCCTTTGAGTAATTGACTAATTAATGAAAGAGAAATTAGACTTAAATAAATGACATTAATGATATGTATCAAACAACTGTATCAGACTTGTTTCGGGTCTGTATGGCTGATACAGATCCGAAATAGGCCGATACGGGCTGATACAAATCCAAAACAGTATGATACGGGCCCGTATCGGTTGATACGTGCGAAAAGAAACGAAACAAAAGATTTCTACACGTTCCACATATCGGGTTCAATACGTATCGATCGATACAACCCGATACATTGCGATATTTTGAACCTTGGATGGAGTGCAAATCAAGATCGATGTAAAATTCCATTCCTGGTTTAGATTTATCAGCATTTGGATGGAGTGGAGTTTTACATTGTAAATCAATGTAAAACCTCATTTAAAGTAAGATTTTACATCAATTATCGATGTAAGTATTATTTTATTGATGTAAAATGCCATTTATTTTGAAGCTCAACGGTCATAATCTTTTTATTGTTTGATGTGAAACTCCATTGATGAGGTTTTATGCCGCTTCCAACACAACCTTTGGTTTATTTATTTTTTTGCCAAGGGATTTGCCATTTTTTTGTTTCATGCTGACATTAAACGATAGAATATAATTAGGGAGAATGACGGTTCAGCCCAGGGTCAGAATTCATAGGCACAAAGTACAGTTGGGGTAGGTGCCAGCTCGGAATTGATGCTAACTCACGGGCGGATATGGGTGCATAGAGTGTGGTTTTTTTTATCTTTTGAATGTTTATAGATTTGCAGTGGAAATCGAAAATCTGCATTAGGCTTGTCCTTACTTTTCCAATATAATTAATGATCTCAATCATTACAGAATAAATATAAACTAAAACAAATAAACAAATGATCTTTTTGATATAAATGTTAAGCTCTAATCAAGGGTGAAAATCCATTATTAGGACGCTGAAGATAACTTAATCAGACGATTAAGATAAAATTCACCCTAATGACTGCTTTTTTTTTAACTATATATGTTAGACAGTGTATGCCCTTAGCCAAGGTTTTAAAGTATTAGAAACGTAAGGTGTATCAGAAAGATAATTTAAAGAGACATATCGGGATACGCTTTGGATACGTATAGATATGGATGAAAAATCAAGATACACATAAATATGCTACAAAACTCAAATAAATCCTAAAAATATATTAATAGCGATAGTAACAAGTTTTATATGATTGTAAATAAGTTATTTAAAGTAAAAAAATTGTAATTTAATGGTCTGTATAAAATTCAAGATATCGGGACACTTAGTAACTATTGACAAATGATGGAATAACTAAAACATGAAAAAACAAAAAAAAAACTAAAATGTATATTGATATATATTAGTTTTAAAGCAATCAATATAATTTATCTTTATATTTATTAATACATAAATTTTAATAATTAATTCTAACTTTTATTGATAAGCATACACTAAGAAAAAGAGAAAATTTATTTAAAAATAAAAATGCATAAACCTATAACAAGCAAATAGGTGTGGCTTAGTGGTGAACCTCTAGTTGTTAAAGCCTAATGTTTAAGGTTTGAATCTTGCTATTGCTAAGTTTGTAGTTTTATACTAACAAAACAAATTTAATGAGAAAGAGAGTTATTAATTAATGAAATTAATGAGAAGAGAATTCCAATTAGGTGCTAAAAATGAAATTGAAATTTAAAATTATGCATTAATTACGGGAGTAATTAACTAATTAATGAGAGGTAATTCAGCCCTAAATATAATTTAATGAAATTAATGAGAGAGAAGGGGACTTGTATCAGGTTGTATCGGACTGTTTCGAAACTGTATCGGCCGATACAAACCCAAAACAATCCGATACAGGGCCCGATACAGACTGATACATACGAAAAGGAATGCTACAAATAATTTATGTGTTCCGTGTATCGAATTTATATCGGAACGATACATATCGGCCGATATGGTCCGATACGTTGTGAAATTTTGAACATTGCCCTTAGCTCCAATCAGATTGATGTACATTTAACATTTATTGTAAATGAATAAAAGTACATAATTATGTTATATTTAGTATGTTTTTGTGTAATTACCCTTAACCTAGACACTTATGAGACTCGTCTTAGTTTAGAATGTTCACAACCGTTGGATAGACCTAGGGAGGTTTATCCTGTCAAAGCTGACACTAATGTGCTGCCAAGTTGGTTGGGGTAGTTTGTCTCAGCTGCCAGGGTTAAACCCGAAGCACATGTAGTGTGTGTTACTTGAAACACTAAACCCAAACCATTTTCCAATTATGCCCTGGACCTTGGAGACTGATGGGTAAAACTGAAAAGTTACACCTAACCCTAAACTTGATTATGGTACTGCACTAGGTGTTGGATTGTGTTGTTTTTTATATGTCAATCAGTGAGATCCTTAGTGGGGGTTAAAACCTGGGTATATTGGGGCAGTCTGAGAATTCACTTCAGTGGGTGATCATAGTGACAAAATCAGCCCCTTTGTCGGACAAAGTGAATGATCGGGGACTGCACTCTCTTATGGAAACCAAAACTGTCGGCAATGAATTTTAACTGTGTTTGAGATTTGTTTTGCAAAATATATTTATATATATATATTATATATATATGTATGTATGTATGTATGCATGTATGTATGTATGTATTATGTTTTATGAAAATGTTTGCAAAAAGTTTTTAATTCTCGGGATCCATCCAAGCAAAGAGTGTGACACTGTACCTTACAGTCGAGGGAGATGTCCTATCTTGTCGGGCAGTGTTTGATCATTATGAGCTGAGAGGTTGAGTGTAAGACCATTTAGGGCTATTGTACCTGATGGGCTAATATCACTTAAGACCATAGTCCTTAGGCCTTTATAAGGTGGCTAGACTCAATGACCATTTAGTGTAAATGTTGAATCCATTAAGAGCCCATACTGATGGACTCAGGGGTTCACTGTGTTCAATAGTGAATTTGGCCAAGCCTTATAACAAATGCTAGATTGAACCCATATAGCTTTTTTGAAGATCAATGTTAGGGTCCCACGCCATACAAAGAGGGCCAAGTTAGTCAGCAATTAAAAGGGGAGGTGAGTCCACTTACTTAATGGGCCTAGGGCCCAAGACTAATATGATTAGTCAGGGTGTTACATGACAACTTATGGGTATGGATCAACAGATAAGATAAGGGGATAAGCCTTATCACTTAACGATTCCAGATCCAAATAAAGATTTGGATTAAGAAGCTCCTAATTGGATTAGGAGAAGTTGATCCTTAAGGCTTATAAATAGAGGGGGCGGATTGCTTCAGTTTCACATTTTTCTGCTCTCAGTTCTCTCCTTCTGTTATTGCCACCCTACCCTATTCGATTTCTAGTTTCTTGGACTGATCAATATTGGATTTTGATTTTGATTTTTACAAGAAAAATCAGATTTAATTTGTGCTCACCATCCCTTGCTTGACCATTGCTGAAGGATTGCAATTCTTGCTGAAGGATTGCATTGCTGAACCTGCTTCATCTCAAGCTGCGCCATGTTCAATGGAAGTGGGTTTTTGTACCTTTTTTGTGCGTGAACACCTACATTGGGAGCTACACGTGTGGATTCCGTATCAGTTATTACCCTCTCTTTCTTTTGGTTTTAGATATGGTCCGTTTGTTTCAAGAATGATCATTGAAAAATGCAGTTTTTTCTAAAACTAGGAATACGATTCCCATAAAGGAGAAAATAAATTTTTGAAATTTCACCCAACCACCCTGCATAGTTCGGCCATCCATATGATGAATCTCCTTTCCCTTCAATATATAGTTTAAAAATTCACCCTAACGACTTTTTCTAAACTAAAAAATTTTGTCTCAAATGATCAAAATCGCTTTTCAAATAATCATTCTTTGGAGCAAAATTGTAACATTTGATCTTATGTGTGACACAAGAGTCCTTTTTTTAGTAAACAAGAAAATTAGTTTATAGGTTAGAAAATTAATTTTAAACCTCCCCTACGTTTATATTTTGGGCAGGCAACCTCGCCAGTATTTTGACTTTGAGCCTTGCAAAAAGTCAATAGACTCAAAACCTCTTCATCTCTCAAAGAAATATGCAAATGCACCCCTTAGTGATGGACATAATATTAGAGTTCGTTTGGTTTGTACTTGGAATCAGAATTGAAATCTTCTGAAATCTGAATTAAAATGGTCCATTCTTATAGTCTGTTTAATTCATATAACAATGAAAATGAGAATTAGAATCAGTAAGAATGAGATTTCAATCCCATAAGAAAGGCAGGGAATGCCCATTCCTTCAAATAGGGGAATACCATTCCAGCAAAAATGAGAATGAGATTTCAATTCCGCCCAATCAAATAATTGAAATTGGAATAACCCATTTCATTGGGATTCCATACCCCTATTCCTGCGAATCAAATGGTGCTTTAGATTGTCATATATTTTAAAATTTCCGCTAATTCATTTCTTAGTTGGACCCTGAGCGGTGGGCCTTGACCATTAGCATTAAGCAGTAAAGGGTCCAACTCAACATAGCCATTGGTTTTTTTTGAAGCCAGCAAGGAAAAGGGTGCTCTTTATTATTATTTTGGCTTCGTAGGCTTTATAGCCCGTCCCCATATCCACATAACCCGGGTGTGAAAGTCCAACTGTCCAAGGAAAGAATAGATTCCAAATCTGGGCTACAAGCGGCCAGAGATGTTACCAGCGGAGAAAGTTGGCATCTTCAGCTCACAAAGCGCTTCTCACGCCGACTTTACAGTTACATTTCATTGTGTATTGAGAATATCACTTATAAATAATAACATAAGTACGGAAGATGTTTTGCAGTTGATATATACCGTAAGGTCGGTGTGAGGAGCAGATCTGAACTTGAACGAGTAGAAACAACGCCAACCCTTTGATGAAAAGAATATTCTGAGGATCTATCACGGTCACAGTTTTAGCGTGGCAGTGATGCTAATCTAATACCGTACGGCTTCACGGAGATTCGGGGCTTCGGGCTATCCGCCATGACCGTCCATGGTAATGAACAATGAAGGATTGTCTCGTCCAAACGGAGTCCCGATCATCTGTCAAAAAAGCACGCTCCAACTCTCTACCAACAAATTTTACACCGTACATCTCAACATAATCTTACACCGTAGATCTCGTATATGGGTGGTCCCACATTTATGATAGATCCCAGTCTCATGGTGTAACGTGGGTTGGAACGTGTTTTGTTGGTAGAAAATCCTAATTCAACCGCACCTCTTTTTTCTAAGGTTGCGATAAATTTCGAATCTCCTGCCCACACCTACCCATAATACACTACTCCCGTGAATTGGGAACATCTCCTCTGCATATATATGCAGAAGATGATGTTTTCTATGTGCGGCTGCGATAAACGTGGGCAGGAGATCCGGACTAAGTGAGGACCCTAATGAATTAAAAACCAAAACGGAGGGATTCTTTAGTAGTTTCATATTTGGAAACGGAGAAGCAAGATAGAGAGTGGAGACCAGGGGGAGTTCCAACATTGTTCCCTTGGTGATGAGACTTGATGGTTCGACACCTTGGTCTGTCAAGAGGAGGAGGCTGACGAGCTTTGATCCCATGGAGGCAGACATAGCTAAGGTCTTCTTCTTCTTCTTCTTCTTCTTCTTCTTAATGTATAGCTGGTTTTATCTGTTTCTCATTTGTCCATAGTATTTTGTCATCTTGACCTTTCTGGATGGTTCAACTTGAATTGGTTGATAATGCCGGGATGGTTCCTGTTGGGTATATAATTTTGTGAAGTTAGATTGATAATTTCAAGCCTTTTCTTATGTGAGCTGTTCGAGTTTTTGGCTTCTGATGGCTCAGAATCCGTTAGTGCCCTTTATTTTAATGATTTTGGATTGCTTTATGCATTTTCCGAAATTTTGATACAAAAATCGCAGAATTGTTTATCTACGAAAGCCGCTCTATTGGGTTCCCTACTTCCTTTGGTATTGGAGAGAGACTTAGACTTGTAAAGATTTTTAAGGAATTTAGTGATGTTTTCTTTAATGTACAAAACCTGCGAGTTCCTGGCATGGGGCAACTGTAAATATTCTTGTAACTCTTTTTCAACTTCTTAGGATCGATTGAATGATTGCTCGGCGCTTTTACTTTTACACCTGTTGCAAGTACTCCAAAGGGGTTGCTGTTTTTTCTTAATCTTAAACTAAAATTTGACTCACTTCATGAAGAAAGAAAGGAGCTTTATCATCAGGGTTTGTTTTTACTCTTGTCACTGGCTATTGCAGTAGATATTTTTAAGATTTTGCTTGGTAACATTGGCATGGTCTACTCTGGAGCCTATCCGTTTTTCCTGATTGTCACTTTCTACCATTGGCTGCGTGCAGTACCTTTGGTTGTTAACTGAATTCTGAAAATTTTCGCTCTTCACTATTTTCATGTGGGTGAGGCAGTTGAAATATCTCATGTTGGGTGTCTTGACATCTGAAATTTGGCTGATAGTTCCTGTTTTTAATTGCTTGTACTTTATTAAGCCACTTGTGGGGTTCTTTTCCCTTCCATTAAATGGTACTTGGTTTCTTATATATAAACATAGTTGAGGTATCATTTATTTCTTGTCTAATTAAGTCCTGAAACATGCAGATAAATTATTAATTTTGCTACACTGGAATTGTCTACTATGTTTTACTGAGATAAGTGTCCCGGAAGATAGTACTAGCATTAGCTATTACTAGCAGTCACATTAAAAAAGGAGGATAATCCATCCTAGGGGACTGATCATCTGCATCCTCGTAAAGCCTAGAACAACTTTCCATGTATAATTAGTTCTCTCCTTTATTTATATCCAAAACATGGTTTAAAAACTAAACTTGTTTTCTCCTATCCTATCTTTTTGGTTTAAATTGTTTCTTTTTCACAATAGCCATCAAGTTGTTATCATTTCTAATACTATGTTTTTGTTTAGCTATAGTTGAATGTGTAGACCAGATTTGCTCCAAAACTCATTGAGAAAGAATTTCCTCATTAATATTATTAAATCCTCAAGGGATGATTGGTGTATGTTCCTTCCCTTTTCTTTTTTTCTTTCTTTAATTCCTTTTTGATTTGCTTCTTTCTTTTGCCCCTCTAAGTAACTGCTTTATTGCTCTTGTTCTTGATCTTTTCAATATTGTCCATATTGGTGCTGTTATTTGTTTTATTTTATCATTGAGCCACCATAAGGTGGATTTATTTCAGCTTTTGTGGTATCAATTCAAAGTCCTTTGCCAGCTGGAGTACCATTGTTTTTCCTTTTCTCATTTGTTGTAATCTCAGACCAAACTTGCTGCTATTGCGGAAAAACTTGGCCGAGAGATTCGTGTTTTTGAAACATCGCCAACTTCAGTGACAACAGATAAGGCACCTGCCACACCAATTTCAAATGATGGTATGCTTCACTTCAACTCTTACAATATTTGATTGTTAGATGCTTTTAATTTGTTAACAGATGCATGTGGATTATGGGGTTCTTTTTTATTTTCTGCTTTTTAGTTCTGAATGCAGCCAACAAAATTCTTTGTGTGGTTATCCTCAATTTTACATATCAAACATAAGGATTTAGAATATCTTATCTTATTTATATTGGTAATATTGTTGTTCTTGACAGAAGAACCTGATGATTTCTATGAATTCACTGCGGAAGATTATTATCGGCTCTTGGCAACAAAAAAAGAAGGTACATAGGAAATTATTCTAGCTCTAGCTAAGATTTTTACAGATTGATTAGCAATGTGCTTTTATGTTTTTGGGTTTTGCATTTGACACGAATGGCATGAAGAACATTGAATTGTTTATTGTTATCTCTATGTCTGCTAGGTTTCCTATGGGCCATTTCATCCATTCTTAAAAAATGTGTGTCTTCTACTGGGGTAGTACTTCATTTAGATGGATATGCATACTAGAGTGGAGTAACCATATTATGGGTTTAACAAAAATGATTTTGTATGTAACAGCGTTTGAGATTTGGATCTGTTCATCTGATGAAGAGATTCATATCTGATTAGGTTTAAACTTGGAGATCTCCTTTCTGGGGACTATGTGATAAGTTGCGAAACCTAGATGGGTGCCATGCATACCATTCGAGGAATGGATTCCTTTTCCATTGTTGTTTGCATCAACATTTCTCGTAAGTGCCTATATTCTGAGTTGTAAAGCCCAGACATGTGTTATGCATGCCATCCAAAGGATGGACCCCTCATTTCTCACTGTTTTCTTACACGACTATTTCTAATCATCCCATGTCTTATGGTTTACTCTCATCAAAGTTATAAAGTTCATGTGGAACATTGGATTAAAGTTGCTGATTTAATGCAATTGAATTTGGTTATCTTCATTATGAATCTATCATTAGTGCTGAATATTCTCTACATTGATTTGCTGAAATATTAACAGACAGATTCCTGAAGACCCGCAAAATCAGAGAAGCTGAGGAAGCTGCTCGCAGGTCAAGGATGGCTAAGGTGCTGGCAGACAACTCTGGCTAATGAAGTATAATTTTGTAATGCTTCATGGATGTTTTAATCTCATAGATGTTCAACTTTCATGAAAGTTACCTTTATTATTTCGTGTGTATCTTTGGTTATTTTCAGTGTTGCCCAGCTACCTGTGTGTGGGTGCCATGTTGTGTTGCATACTGCAGTTTTTAGCGTAAATTGTGTGTCTGAATCCTTGTACAGTTGTGCCCTGGTCGTATTGGGTGATATGGGTTATTTTCCCTTTTCAGTTAATAATTAGCTTCTTAGATGGTACAAGTGGCTCTATATGTATTTAATTTAGTGGTATGGAACCCAATTTCTTCTGGTATTTTGTTTTCTTTTTAAAGTTCAAATGATCCTAACTTCAAACTAGAAGAAATGTTCCAATTATAAAAAATATAAGTTTCATGTTATGATCTTAAGTAAAATTGGCAATTAGTAGATTTAGTTAGTGACAATGAAATTTCCCAATTACCATATATTGCACGACATGCATTTTTTTCGGTTATCTTTTTAATTAGGTTGTTGCTGGTGGTTGAGGTTGATGTCTCACACTAAGGGCATATCTTGCCATTTTTCTTTTTTTTTTTTCTTTTTAATGCAGGCAGTAATTAGGGTTCGTTTCCCTGATAATTACACATTGGAGACAAAGTTTAACCCATCAGAGACACTTCAAAGTTTAATTGATCTTCTCATGAAAGTGGTTGCTCGAGTGGACCTACCATTCTATTTATGTAACCATTACTTAATTCATTATGTTTAAATATCTAAATATCCCATTATTTATTTCATAGCTGATGCTAATTGCTAAGCACCTAGGCATTTTGCTTATGTTTCAGATACCACACCTCCAAAGAAGCAAATAAAGGACATGTCACAGGATTTCTACTCTGCTGGTTTTGTTCCTGGTGCAATTGTTTATTTCTCATATGATCTACCAAAAGGTTACTACATATAGTCTTGATGTTGTTACATGTCATTAGATTTTGCTAATTATCTCCAATTTTAGGCAAAGTTTTGGAAACCAGACCTTACATTGGAAATGGACAAGTTTTCCTGGTTCTGTTTTCTGAGTCTGGATTTTGTCCTCACAGCCTTTGCATCCGTGCATTGGGAATTTCTCCTCATGAATAAAAAAATACAACTACGGAGATGTTCCCAGTGCACAGCTGCAACTGCAAGGGCTGTTGGGACGGTGTAAGGACAGATTTTATGAGGACAAAATCGGAATTCCTGTTTTCCCGATTCAACCTCAAAATTATTAGAACTGGCCAGTTTCAACTTCCAATGAACTTGTTTGTTGTCCATTTCTGGTTCATGTTGGTTCAATCTAGTTTTCAAAACATTGAGTTTTAATCAAACTCTATTAGTCTTGCATTTATGGATCTGGTTTTGAATGTTTAGTTGTTCTTAACCATTCATATGGTATGCAATATGATCAAATGCAGTTTCATTCTGTCGCCTTGTGTTATTTTATTCTATATGCTGATGAGTGTGGAAGATGGGCTGTTGCTGGCAGTGTGGTTCATGATTGTAGAGCTGCAGTTCAAGCAAATTTTCTGTTTCTTTAGTTGTTTGGGTTAGATCTTGGGTATTCAGTTTCTGTTAATTGCTTTCATGTCAGGGGAACAACAGAAGGTACAATAGGTTTAATAATTGTTTAACAAACTACCAAGTTTTGAAAATTCTTTTAAGCCTAACTGAAATTTTTTTTTTGGGGGGGTAATCTCTAACTGAAACTAGTTGAAAAATCAAAATGGTTATCAAAGTACGGAGGATGCTTGATGATGTTAGCTTTGAACATTAGTTTTGTTATGCTAATGCTGCCTGTTTTCTGGCCACAACAGCAGTTACTAGTACTAGCCTGCAGTGGTAATGGTGATTGGTTATTTTGGAAACTCATTGGTTGGCCAAATGGGGATTAGCAATACAGTTGAAATTAAATGATCTTTTTTCTCTGATGCAAAAATACTCATTGTTGTGTGGAAAATTTCTTTCATCAAAATGATGATTCTTCTGGTTATTACAGTTAATGTTTTCTCCTACTTAATGTATGTACTGAACAATCCTTGCTTAGCCATGTGAAATGATTACTTGTATAAAGTTAAGCTTCATGCCTTTATGCTTGATTATTACTAAACTATAACTTGCTGCATGTTCAGGAGATGAAAATGCAGCTGAACCTTCGGGACCCTATCTTCAAGACGAGATAATATCTCTAAATGGTCTAGATCTGATTCCAGAACCGGCTCAGTCTGTTGATCCTGCAGCCAATTCTGTAACAGTTGAACCCTCATCAATTGCTCAAGAGCGTAAGCCTGTTGAGAAGAAAACTGTTAAGCCGAAGTGGCTGAAAATGTGACAAGTTGTACTATATATGTGAGGTCCTCTTCCCCGCTTTCCCTTTAATTTGAATAGTCTAAGTGGAGTTGATAGTCTTTTGTTTTATCCGTGTTTTCTTCTGAATGGAATTTCCTTTTTCACTTCCTTTTTCGCAATCCAAAACACAGACTACTTAACAGATTCAGTTCAACCAGTTTCTTTGTTGTTCAAGCTGTTCAGGCACCCAAGTTTGATCTAAGTTACTCATTAAGTGAAAAAAAAAAGTGTTTTAAGTTTAATCCGAGTTTTTAACATTGGTTAATTTGTGGTTATTAGGTATTGATCCTAGGACAGGACCTTATGTGGAGGTTGTAGATACAGCTCTCAAAGGGCTTTGAGGTGCAAGGCATGGAAGGATGGTAAATCTACCAGGATTACTGTGGTTTCTAAGCTCCAAAGGGATTTAGATGGACGACTCTTTTTATTGTACACCAATTTGTAATCTTGGTTGGTGGTCAACTTTATGTTATATATATTTGCGTGCTTTAGGGCTTTGTATGTTCTCTGCCGAAAATTATTATTATATTGCTATGCTGTTAATCTATCTGCTTATCACAAATACAAAAAAAGGGTTAACCAATATATTGGCTACGGACTTTCCCTCTCTTCTCCCCCCACCCCCCGACCAAAAAATTAAGGCCCCATTTGGTTCATATGGGAATAGGCGTCTGGAATCGAATGGGCTATTTCTGATTCCAACTGTTTGGTTGGGTGGAATCGGAATCCCATTCCTATTCCTGGTGGAATAACATGGTCATTCCCTCTCCCTCCCTTGGGAATGAAATCTCATGCTTGTTGATTCCAATTTTCATTCTCATTCTTGTATGAATCAAACAGACTATAATTATAGATCATTGTGATTCCAATCCGATTTCAAAGAATTTTGATTTCAGTTCCTTTGGACTGCAAATCAAATGGGCCCTAAAAATGCCCTTATTGGGCTCGACTGCTTGAGTTATGCACAGGCTGAGTGGATCATGCAAGGGAGTTTGATCCAGCTTGGATCTTCAAGCTGTGAAAATGGCCTGATCCGATCCTAGGCTGGGCCACCCATCACATGGCCGACAGACCAATGATTAAAATATCGATGTGATATGAGAGCCTTTTAAAATATTGATTAGAATATTTTGTATCGGTGTACCCAGGTACAAGAATTTTTTTTTTTTTTTTTTTGACTTGTCATTTGCATCAAAATTAATTAGGATGGACGAATTTGTTTTTGCTGTAAAATTGGAAAAAATAATTATTTTACGGAAAAACGAATACAAAGGGATTTTTTTTGCCGAAGGGAAATATTGTGAGGACCGAGGAGCCCATTGTGCATAGGTAAATTGTGTCGAAAGCCAAAATCATGGTAGCTTCCGGGGATTTGATATTAGATGGGCCTAAATGTCAAATCAATTTCAAGTGGGCCTAAATGACAAAACAAATCGGGTACGGTAGGTGGGCCTAAATGACAAATCAAGTTGGGCTTGAGTACGGATTCAGAACCTCAGATTGTATCGCCAAAACATTTTGGCGATTTATATCCAAATGTCAGACGATGGGGGATCACTGCTGGTGCTGGATTCCCAATAAGAACACACCTTTGGAGCGTGTAAGTAGAACTGTATAAATCCCTACCCACAAGGCCACAAGGTGCCAATTGGCTGGTTGGTGAGGTCTCCTGCTGATTGTAGCGGAGACTTGCCAACGAGATGGTTGGTAAAGCCTTCTGCTGATCGTAACGTAACGGAGACTTGGGATTGAATCCCGCCAGTACCTGGTAAGGTCTCATATGAGGCCTAGCTTAATGCTAGAAGCCGCATTGAGAAAGCCCTTTCAGACGGGTACTTAGTAATAAAATTAGAAATTTGAAAATAGGCTTGCATTAATCTAAAAATCAGCTTTCTACTAAACCATCTTACGTGGTGTTTGGCATCGATGCTGTTTTTTGAGAAAATGACATTACGTAGGCATCATATCAGAGAAACGGTGTTTCAAACAATGCCCTCTTGGTTGGTACTGTTTTTCCAGAAAAAAAAAAAAAAAAAAACGGTGTTTCAGACCATGCTTTGGAAATTGGAAAAGTGTGGTTTGGAGCAACGCCAAATTCAATGTTTTTTGAGAAAACGGTACATTACTACCAACAGTGCAATGGTGTGACATCATCTTGAATGTTGAATAATATAGACCATGTTGAAAATATTGTTATTTTCTCAAAAAACAGCTTTTGTGGCAGTACTGATTCCAAACAAAAAATAAATACAAATTTTCTAAAAAAACGGTGCAATATTCTCAGCCCCAATGCCAAATACCTACTTAAACAACTACTCAAAAGCAATTCATTCAAGGCAGCTCAATCAATGTAGGAGTGATCCTAAATGCAAATGGGCTCTAACACAGGTTTGGGGTGTTAGGTGTTCGGACTGTTGGCATTTAATTAGTTAGACAGTGCTGGACACAATAGAGCCGGGCTACTTTAGAACTTGGTTTAAAGCACATCATCTACACGTACGATTTTTGCATCCTGTTGTCCGATTAGATCCATACGGATGTTTGGGGGTTGGGAGATACTGGTGCAACCGTAAGAAGTTGGCCGTTCAGCCATTGTTGATTGTTCATTGAAATTGAAGAACGTGTAGGTGCACCGTGTAGGAACTAAAAGGGTCTAGCGAGTGGCACGTAAAGGTTTTGAGAAAATCTATGATGCTGGAAAGAGATGATACAAAATGGCTTTGATCAATTATAATTCCGGTGAATTAAGAGTGTTAATGGACCGGTATTGGATTGGACCTCATCCAGTCCAAAATCAATTTAGACGGATTGGATGGACCAATAAGACATATTGGATTGGATCAATTCGGTTCAAAATATTTATTAGACTGGATTAGATCTGATTCGTCCGTAACAAATTTATATTGGATTGGGTTGGATTAAGCCAATATCTGATCCATTGATATAAGATAAGAATATGTGTCAATAGACCAGATTTGGATTGAAACCAATCTAAATCAAAATAAATTTGAACGGATTGGATGGTCCAAACATTGAATTGGATTAATCCAAAATATTCATTAGATTGGATTGAACCTGGTCCATTTATAATGGACACTCCCATGAACACCTCTATTGGCAAGACTATAAAAGACAAACAAGGTAAAAAGATCTTATTCTCTAATAGAACTCTTAAATCTCTTTTTTTTTGGGTTTCATTTCAAGTTTCAAGTTTCAACGAGGTTGAATCGAACCGTTGACCGTAAGATTGGTGGTAGTATTTGGTCAAACACCTTAGAAAGAGACGCTCATTCCAATCTACACTTGCGGTCAATAAGACCGTGTTTGGTTTGGGAATAGAAAAACATCAAGTTGAGGGAAATTTCCATTGAGGAATGTATTCCAATTCCAAAAATAATCGAATAGGAGGAATCATACTCTTTTGACAATCAGATAATATCAGATCCAGTTCCCACCTGCTCTTTTTTTTTTTTTTTCTGGTCGGTCTCCAGTCTCCACTGAATCTACCCTCGCTTAGGACTTTAGCCCACTGGGCCGCTAATCCAAAATTCTGAAATCACGATCAAGATTCTCGATGGATAAATCTTAGCTGTACAAGTTATAGACCATGGGCGCAATAAGCGCCAGTGGAAACCTGAACAAAGTAGCCCATTTGACCCATGCTACATAATTGCTTCTTGTTCTGGTGGGTAGATAATGTGGATTGTGGGCCCATCTCATCTGAATTTCATCCACCAACCGGTAACTTTATCGATCATTCATTCATTCTCAATCAGTAATTAAGGGGAGAACTTTCGAATTGATGGGGTAGGAAGTCGGGGAGTAAAGGAGAAGGAAGATGTTTTCCTTTCTTCTTTCGGTTTCACTGGTCAAAGAAAACAAATGGGAAAGACAGATATCGCTTTCGCTTCCAGCCTTCCACCAAACCGTCGTCCTCGCTTGTCTTTCCAGGGACGAAGGAAAAATCTGGAAAGCAAATCCCAACTGTCAGCCAGGCAGCCAATCCAAAACCAAAAGTCCAAGAGTCAAATCGTGAACAGAAAAATCAAAAATCAAAAAACGAAACGGGACTTGTTTTTGACATTTTGATTAGTTCGAGGGGCATATGAGTAATTGCAAAAAACCATCGACAAAAAGAACCCAACCCAACCCAACTACCCCTTTCAACGGTTGAGATGTGGTAGATGAGCAGCCGGTGATATTTCTCCAAGAGTCAAACAATCCTCGCGCGCCAAGTGTGTCTGTGCCCCCACCATACGCGGTTTGGTTACAGGATCAAATCCATTCAAACTGAGAGTCTGGAGAGGAAGTGGCAGTATCATTTTGTGGAGTTGTTTCATGCCTTCCATTAGCCATATACCAATGGGATAATCTAGTGTTGTGTGTACATAAGAAAAAAAAGTTGGAATTTGATTTCCCCACTCCCCAGATTGTCTGAGTGCGTAGTTCGCACCATTAGTTAGTTAGAATATTTTTTATTTTCATTTTAATAAAATAATAAATAAATAACCAATCGAATCGACCAAGGCGGCTGGTAAGAATAAAGAAACAGAGGAGGGGGTTGGTGATCAACGGAAAAGGATCCATTAAAAACCAGAGTAACCCTTTTTCTTCTGCTTCGTAGATCGCATCACATACAAAGGTTCACCTAGCTAGGAAAGAGAGCAACTTCTCTCTCTCTCTCTTTCTCTCCCTCTTCAGGTTCTTCGGTTTCTTCGTCAATTTGATCACCTGGTTCATATTTTCAACTTTGTTCTCTCTCCTATACTCTTTAATTCTTAAGCTAACTTTGAATGTATGTAGTTTCTCGACTCTGTAATTTGATTTTATTTAGATCGTGGATCTGTGAATTTCTACATTTCCTTGAAATATTCCATATATAGAATTTTCTCAAATTTTTTTTCTTTTTTTTGTTTGTATTATCTCAATTTTCTTTATTTTTCTCGGTATATATCAGATTATCAATTGGTTATTTTCAATAAATCTATCACTTCGACACCTTTTCGATTTATTTTTCTTTTAGTAATTTCCACTTATTCTCTCTCTATGGTGCATGAATCATGGCTCTGATATCATGTTAGCCATGCGGGATAAGCTAGCATATCGCAGTCAGAATAGTCCTTCAGTTATCTATGAAGAATATTACTCCATCTTAACACTCATGTAAAGTGAAGTAGGAGCGGTACTTACCACTTTTTGTTTTTTGTTCGTTTTTTTTTTTTTAACCAAATACAGATCAGGTGATATAATTTACAATAGCAACATACTTGTGAGACACCAGCGCTACCAGTCTGGTCAGTCTGATGGAATCTGGTGGTTCCTCTATAGAAAGAAGGAATACTTTGAGAAGTGATTCCTTCTCTGATGGAAAAGACTTTGACAATCTCCCAGAAACTGGATGTCTCTCCATTATCGTACTTGGTGCTTCTGGTGACCTTGCAAAGAAAAAGACCTTCCCAGCGCTTTTCAATCTTTACCGCCAGGTTTGTTGAATTTACTTGCTCTTTCTCATTGATAAACTTCTTTTCCAATAGTGTCGTTGTTTCACCGTCTTTCAGTCTTAGAACTGGTTGTTCAGAATATTTCATATTGTTTATGGTAAATAAGAGAAATCTTCCCTTGCAGCTACTTTCTCAACTTCATGGGTAAACAACCTTTCAGTATCTTCATTAATGAAATATGTTTATAGATGAATTCCTCCCACTGACAAATTTTCCTTATTACTTCTAAACCTTGATAAGTCCCATCTTCTCTACTCATTCAGCAAACATGGTTCAAAGTGGGGGTTGGGGGGGGGGGGGGTAGCTTAAAAGCCAGAAAATGATTGGATTACCTCCAGGAGAGTAGTTAGGTTGATTTTGACTGAAACTATTGATTTATTGTTTATAGAGACCTGCATTCATGAACTAACTTTCGTCTGGCTTTACACAGGGATTCCTACAATCAAATGAAGTTCATATTTTTGGGTATGCGCGAACCAAGATTTCGACTGATGAGTTGAGAGACCGCATACACAAGTGAGATCTCTTACCTGTGGTATATTTACACAAATTACTGTTATCATAATCTATACCAAGCTATTTCATCTGTACTTAGATGGCATTCTGTTTTCATTTCTTTTCAATGAATATCCTGATTTGTGCCATTATAGTATAATAAATATAGAAGTTTCAATATAGATGATTTTCTTTAGGGTAATGATCTCATACGTCAAGTTGGGAAAATCTACTAGTCCATCTTATTTGTCAGCATCCACTTGTTTAAGGACTTTTGACTACTTACAAATGGAATCTGGTATAATTTAATCTAGGGGATTCTTTCTATAAACTTGGCAAATAGGAAGTTGTAGTTAACTAGTTATATTTTCCTTATGTCAGAGTTTGTTTTCTGCTTATGTAGAATTTCTGATGCATAATATTTATATTTTCGTCTCAATTTCATTAGCTCTTTTTACTGGTTGCTATAATGCATGTAATGACTGCTGAGGATTAATTCACATGAGTACCATTAACTGCAGATATCTTGTTCATGGCAAGAGCGATTCTGAGCACTCTGAAGATGTATCAAAGTTTTTGCAATTGGTACATGGCTATTTCTCCCTACATTGTTCACCTATGTCTTACAATCACTTGCTACTTCAGAAATTTCTAATTGCTCCACAAATTTTGTGCAGCTCAAATATGTTAGTGGTTCTTATGATTCTGTGGACGGGTTCCGTTTATTGGATAAGGAGATTTCAGAGCATGAAATCTCAAAAAACAGTCTAGAAGGATCATCCCGTAGACTTTTTTATCTTGCACTTCCTCCCTCGGTATATCCACCTGTGTGCAAGATGATCAAACACTGTTGCATGAATAAATGTAAGTGATCCTTATAGAGATGGATGCATCAAACTCACTCTTAAATACAAGCTAGCATGGACAAAGTCATTTATCTTTAAAGATGCACCCTTTATTTTCACATCAACCTGCAATTTGGATTTCAGAAGTGCACCTTTTTTGTTTTGCATGAGGACACCTCCTCCTGAGATGCTGAGTTTGAATTCCATTCACCACTTAACTGAATAAGGTTGTAAATTTCATTGATTCTATGATGACTTTAAAAAGGCAGGAAAACTTGTAATGGACATCTTGATATTTTATGATGGTTCACATCAGGAGGACTTTTATTTTGTTTTGGATGCATGCACATGTATACAGACATGCGTATATATGTGCACACATGTGTTTTTATGGTTCTATCATCATCATCATCATCATCATCATCATTTTAGCCTTGTCCCAACTATATGGGGTTGGCTACATGAATCCTGTTTCACCATTTAGTTCTGTTTGGTGCCATGTCCATTCTTAAATTATGAGCCCTTAAATCATTGCTTACTACCTCAACTCATGTCCTTTTTGGTCTCCCCCTAGCTCTTTTAACCCTTTCAACTTACAGTAGATTACTTATTAGGAGTGTTGTATACGGTGTCCCTAATAAAAGGAGGAGGTTTGTGTCAGGTTGGCAGCTGACATTAAAACATTCTCCAAACTACTATGAACATGGATCCTGAATTGTTTTTATGGGTCTATCTACACTAAAAATTTCAATATAAGGTGCTCATTTTTGTTCCTCTTAATCAAAGAGTCAATTTAATAACATCTTTTTTTTTATGTAATTTAGACTATTTCATGATCCTGAATATGCCAGACTATGATTGCCATGGTTGGGTTTCAGAACATCTCAAAAATACATCCTTATAAATGGATTTTTAAATTCATTTTCAGCCGATCTTGGTGGATGGACTCGCATAGTTGTTGAAAAGCCTTTTGGAAAGGATTTAGAATCTGCAGAGAATCTCAGTACCCAGCTTGGCAATTTATTTGATGAACCACAGCTATATCGTATTGACCACTACCTGGGAAAGGAATTGGTGCAGAACTTGGTATATGTTCCCCAAATGGTTTAATTATTTCTGGCCCATTCTGTTCCTTCTCCCTACTTATACTTATCATGTTTAAAATCTCCTTTTCAATTGCAGCTTGTGCTTCGTTTTGCAAATCGTTTCTTTTTGCCCCTCTGGAACCGTGATAACATTGATAACATACAGGTGAATATGCTTTAGGGAACTCTTTCGATCATTATGCATGATAGTAATTTAGCTTGTATTTGGGATGGGTAAAAATGGAAATGAAGGTGAAGTTGAATTGGCAAATCATGCAACTTTCTGGATTCTACTGCTTGGGTTGACATTCTTGTAGCTGAGAGGAACAAGGAAAAGAACTGGTGGATTTGCTTTTATTTTTTGGAATTTAAAATTCCTATGGTTCTAGCCATTTGTTGGAGTTGGAGGTAAAATGAAATTCAGTTCCATTTCTGCATTTATGAAACAAATGCAATCTTATGCTATTGGGTCATACCATATGCTAGAAAACTAAGCTATTCTTGATAACATTAGGCTGGAACTTTTTTATACTATTGGATGAACAGAGTTTTCTATTACTTGTTACATTGTGATTATAATCATTTCTTTTCTGTGATTATCAAAGGGGAATTGTTATTTTTGTTTCCCTTATATTGTTTTATAAAACTTTATGCTTTTCAAGGAAAATATATGGCTTCACTAGCTACCATGTTTATTGTGACCCTGAGTAGAAACAGCAGGGAATGTTCTTTTCCTTCTTGTGTTCTTTCTGGAGTCAGACATGGGTCATTTGTTGTTTTCTCTGCAATGTTTCATTTGGCCATAATGGTTCTGACCCATGAGCTACGGAATTTAGATCATGCTCTGGTCCAATCTTATGCATGCTAAATCTATGAATATTGACATTCGGAAGCTCAAAAGCAAACCATCTCTTCCCTGGACAACTAATCTCTATATTGTGAGCTTCAATTTTCAGAAATTTTAAATCTTTATCTTCATTCTGGCAGATTGTCTTCAGGGAAGATTTTGGAACAGAAGGGCGTGGTGGATATTTTGATGAATATGGGTATGTTCTCTGGACTCGTACAATGTTGTTGTGTGTCAAAAATCTTTTTTTTTTTTTTTAGCAGCAATGTTTAACTCTATTTTTTACCTTATCTTTAAACAAAACATCCACCCTTAAAGCATTTAATGATCTTCAATTGTGTGAATTTCCAGTTTATCCAAGTAATAGTAAACAAATAAATAAAATAGAAGAAAAATCTTTGCTTGGCAAGAGACTATTCTTGTTGTGAGAACATTACTAGAAAGGAAGCACAACTCTAGTTGCCTAAGATGTGGACATCCTTGTTAACTTTGCAAGATCTGTATGTCTATAGAGATTGGGAAGAAGAAGAAGAAATATGGATTTCTTCTTAATAATTGGTTATTCATTATTTAAGTAGAACATCTTGTACCTTCAATTTTCTATGTTTCAATTCAGGCAACTATATTTATCTCAAAAGTTTCACCCTTATTCTGCTGTTGGATTGTAAAAATCGTGTCTTTCAAGTTTAGATGTGAGATGTTTTTGGCTTTTTTTTTCCCCGACTTTAGATGTTTGCTTGTGGGGTTTGAAGTGGTTCTTGTCTTTGTTGGCTTTGACTTTTGAGTTTTATTTTTGGGCTGTTTTGGGATCTTTTGCTGTTGTGGGGTTTTGTCTTGTGGTGAGTTTGTGGGCTCTGGTTTCTGCTGATTTTGTTGAGGCTTGGCTGGCTTGGAGTGCTTGTGTAGGGTTTTGAAGTTCTGCTTTGTCTCTTTTCTCTCTCGAGTGACTTCTGGCCACTCTCCTCTGTAATTTCTTTTTTCCATCTAATAATTTGCATTTTATTACAAAAAAAATGTGTCTTTCAAATACAAAATGTACTCCATCAAATAGTTGGAGTATATATATGATACATCTATATCCTTGCTAACGTTTAATTGATAAGCAAACATCATTCTTTTTTTTTTGGCAGAATAATCCGCGATATCATTCAAAATCATCTGCTGCAGGTAATTCTTGGATATTCTCTTAGGCATAATCATAAGTGACTCTTTTCCAATTATACATCAACCTGCTTGAGTTGCAATCTGAAACTTTCTTTTTTTGCTGCTAATTCACATATATGTTGTTTGTTTCTTACCAACTGCAGGTTCTTTGTTTGGTTGCCATGGAGAAACCTGTTTCTCTTAAGCCTGAGCACATAAGAGATGAGAAAGTAAAGGTATCTGTCTTGATTCTTTTACATGAGACACTTTCTTTGTTTTGTGTCATCTATCAAAGCCATATGCTAGCCATTCTTCCAATATTTAAAATAGTTATTATCTTTTAATATTTGTATAATGCTAACATTTTGCAATATATTTCCTGGTATGCCAAAGTTTGACCAGAAATAAGAGATTACAATGGCTATCACCTAAACATATCTTAGATTTATGTATGCATTATGTATTATTGTAGCCTATTCTGATTACTGATAAACCATTATAAAGTTGTATATTAAACATCCCAAATACACTCATTGTGTTCTCGTTTTGGTGATTATGATATGATATTTCAGGTGCTTCAATCAGTCCTACCTATAAAACCTGAGGAGGTTGTTCTTGGACAGTATGACAGCTACAGAGATGACCCAACGGTTGCTGATGATTCAAACACCCCAACTTTTGCAACTGTAGTTCTGCGAATTCACAATGAAAGATGGGAAGGTGCAATAAGTTTGCTTTTGTTGAATATTCCATTGTTCTGTTAAGTTATTCTTAGCAATTTTGTTGAAAGGTTACCAGAAATGAATAGAAACCAAGCAGGGATGTGATCAGGAATTCTTTCCTTGTATTTCAGATCCAGACTGTATATGTAGTCCTTCTGAACTAGATTAATCTAAGCATCATCTTAGACTCCAAAACATTTAACTAATGTTTTGACCCATATTTGCCACTAATGCCCAGGTTCTTTTTCTATGCAGGCGTTCCTTTTATACTCAAGGCAGGGAAAGCATTAAATTCAAGAAAGGCAGAAATACGTGTTCAGTTTAAAGATGTTCCAGGAGATATTTTTAGATGTAAGATAGCAAGTTATTCTTTATGTTCATTTAACTTTTTGCTTCCACATGTTAAACACTATCTTAAGTTCTCTAAATCAAGCTTGATTCCATGCAGATAATATATGGACTGAGATTTCTAAAGTAATTATCTGAAAGAACATCTAAAACATGCATATCATATGAAAATCTATTACTGATTATTCATTCAATATTTTAATCTTGATTTCATCTATTTCCACCCATAGTGTTGGTTAAATCTTCATGCTAAGCCCTGTATATGTCTATTAAGCATAAGAGGAGCATTATTGTAAATTATAAGACATGTGCATCTAGGCCCTTCAGGGACCTGGTTTATTCTCTATCATTTCTCTTTATGGTTCTTCTTGCTAATTGATGTTCAATAATGTCTTATGTTCCATATGTTCCTCTTGCATAGCTAAAAAGCAAGGGAGGAATGAATTTGTAATACGCTTGCAACCTTCAGAGGCCATGTACATGAAACTTACGGTAAGTGTTTCTTCTCATGTTGTGAACAAGTTCACTGTTTCACTATCTTTATTGTTGCCTGAAAACTTCTTGTATCTTTTTAACATTCTAAGTTAAAATTTTGTGACATATTTTGTAATGAAACGGATGCCTCAACCTCCATTGGGTTAAAGTTGTTGAAGCATTTTTGTGATACCCAGTTCTTATGAAGCCTGAGCCTCAAGCTCAAATATTTAACTAAACATGCCTAGTGCAAACTTGTTTGGGCTCCACTTGGTCTAGGTTTGGTTTTGTTGTATAATAATATGATCCGTTTATTAATCAGTAAAAATGACTGCTAAATGCTATTGCAATTTGTCATTATTGTTATTAATATCAATATTATCATGGGAGTGGGTTTGGGTCATTCGGTAAGCTTCCCTAAACGACCAAAGAATCTTATTAGTGAGATGAATCCCTAATCTTAGGACTGACGAGCCTGATTTTATCTGGACAATGTTGGTTCATCTTGGCCGGTTGTCATCTATCATGGTAGACCATCCAGGAAAATGATCTTCCCACAAGTTCTATAAATTTGACAGAATTTTGTTAACAAGTCTTCCTCCGTTTCTTGCTACTACTGTGATCTGTTGATTAAATTCCACTCTCGTGTGTTTATTTACTGTTGTTTGGTGGTTCAACCAGGGATACCAAACTTAGTATTTTAGCTGCTCGATAATTATCCATTGGAATTGGAGTGCTTTATATATATCTGAATTTTGACATGCTCTTCTAAATATTTTTATCTGTATCCATTCGATAGTAGAAACAATATAGAATGCTTAAAATTGAAGGCACAATTTTTTACCCATTCAGATGGTGAAAGCATGTAATAGCTAAACTAATCCCCAGCTTCTTTATTGTGTTGTTGTGTGTTGAAAACAGTAGTCTATTATAACTTTAGGGTGCTAATTCGGGTCTACCCCGTTTTTGATAAATGGGGCACGCCCTAGACCTAAGTGATCAAAGTGCTACTCGTAATAATGATAATTATCATGCACGGTTTTTCCTCTTCCTTAACACCTTTGAACTTTCCTCTCACAGGTCAAGCAACCAGGGCTGGAGATGTCAACCATCCAAAGCGAACTAGATTTGTCATATGGGCAACGTTACCAAGGAGTTACAATTCCAGAGGCTTATGAACGACTAATTCTCGATACGTATGATTTCATCTTTGTCATTTTATATGCTTGTATTATATGCATGCAGCCATACTGTACATACAATGAAGATTACCATCACAGTTAGTCAATTATCACTTTGTCACAATTAACTCGGCTGGGACTCTTTTTTGCAGAATACGAGGCGATCAACAGCATTTTGTTCGCAGAGATGAGTTGAGGGTAAGTGAATTATTCCATTTCTGGCTTGAAAATCTCTATGCGCAATATGGCTCAAAGATTTACTGGTGTGATGTTTTTGATCAACAGGCGGCATGGGAGATTTTCACTCCGTTGCTACACAAAATTGACGATGGGGAGCTGAAGCCACTTCCATACAAGCCAGGGAGCCGAGGTCCAGTGGAGGCTGATGAGCTGCTGGCAAAAGCCGGTTATGTGCAAACACATGGCTATATATGGATCCCGCCCACCTTGTAATCATCTTCCGGTTACTGGGCGAGCTGGAATTTTTAGGGCCCCACCCTATAACAAGAAATAGAAAATAATCCTGCCCCCTCCAGCTTGTTGACCCAGATGCGCCCTTTGTGTTGAGAGTAGAGAAAATAATATCTCAGTGTAGCACCTAAAATCAATTGCTTATGTAGTAAGATCAATCGGTTGTTAAATTAGATTACTATATGTTGTGGTATGTACTAGAACTTTGTGTAATGAATTTTGTTTTATTTTTCTCACGTAATTACAAGATACTCCCTGAATCGTGAATATCATAACTGACAATGGCATGGTGAATGGTGATAGGTTTTACCTTGGAAATGCAAATATTCCAAGCAATCTCACTTTGATGAGAATTGTGGATCGGCGTTTGCTGTGGAAAATATCATCTCAGACTTGTTTTCACAGATGGGTTGGGTGACTGGGTGTAGGATGTGGTGCTGGCGAAGTGTCGTGAGTGTAGTAGCCGTGTAGGTGCTGCTGCTAGGGATCGGGGTGGATGTTTGGAAAGTGGAATGGGGTGAGGTGGTGGATCCATTACCATTAGGATAACAATAAGATTATTTTGATTTATTAAAAGGCATATTGGGTTTTTGAGCAAAAAATGATGAAAAAAACTAATGAAAGAGAGGTTTTTTTCCCATGGTTTTCAAAAACAAATTGGACCGAAAAAATTGGGAACTGGTCAGGTGATTGGTTCTGGTTTATCATAGAACTATTATTTTGTCAAAAACCGTTGATTTGATCAGCAAATCGCTGACTTAGGCGGTTGAACCGTTTGGACTAAGGTTCAAAGTATCACTATGTATTGGCCCGTATCGGTTGATACGTATCATTCTGGGACCCTTCCGATACGCCCCTACAATGGGTGTATCGGGGGTCTGAACAGTTCAGGGGATGGAGGGGTCCTAGACCGGCTTCCCTGAACTAGTTTTAAAAAAAATAATAAGAAAAAGGTAAAAAAACGAGTATCAAAACGCCCGATACACCCCTACTGGCGTATCAAACGTATCAATATTTTGAACCTTGGTTCAAACTGTTCAATAGTTTAGCCATATTTTAATATTTTTGTCAGATCCATTTAATTTGAACAGTTAGACCGTTTGACTCGGGGTTGGACCGTTAACCGGTTCGTTGTCCGATTTGGTTTTAAAAACCTTATTTCTTCTTTATACCGCCCAACAAAATGGATATAGATGTAAGAATTATTTTATAAAAAGGCAGGGTATGAATATGAATGAGTAATTATAAGAACCTCGTCCGTACCCCTAAAAGAAATTTATAATGATAGAGAATGGAACCAAGCAAACTTACACATGAAAGTGAGAGAGACTTGATGGACTCGAATAGTAGTAGTTGGGATCTCGGAAAGTTGAGAGCAGTAGTTCCTGTTTCCTGAGGATTGCGCGCGAACAAAATTTTAGTAAACAGGGGTCTCATTTTCAATTTTTTTGCATAATACAGTACTTTTTCTATCAACATAAATAACTTTTCTTAAAAGTGGTGAGAATTGATAGTGGAACTCAAAACCATATCTCCCTTGAGACTACCCAGTTTACAAGCCAACCGAGCCACCACTCAGTTGGCAGTGAAAATAACTTGTAACTTCTTAAGACATAATAACAGTTTGAGCCATGAAATGATTAAACTAATAAACTTCTACTGCAACATCCTGTGTGCTGAGAAGATTAAAATTTTTTTATGGCTTCTCATCTAAAACAAGATTCAAGTTTCCAACTAGAAAAATGATTGTAGAAAGAGGGTTAACGGTTAAGCATCGACCCAAGGTGCCCCTTCTACGGTCAGATGGAAGATAAAGATCATATTTTAATTAAGTGCCAAGTTACAGCCCAAGTCTGGAGACTTGTAGAACCAGATATCAGCGATCGTTTGGCTGAACCTGACTGGAATCTGAACAAGATATTGGAGTTGAAATGGCACAAAACAGTCAATGGTATATAGAAAGAGTGGTGACCCTCTTCTGACTCCTTTAGAAGAGCATGAATGATAAAATATTTAAAAATAAATCTCTCTCTCTCCTCAAGAAATAGTTATAAGAGCGGGATGCTGTTCCAGTGACATCATGAGGCTAACCACCCTCTGTCTAGCTCCAAGTTTGATGCTTATGGTAGCTACGCCTATGCATCAGAGAAACCATACAGGGGAGGTATTAATGGCTAAGATGAGCAAAATAGGAGTTTCAACAATCACTTGGCTGAATTGTGAGCAGATTTTGGAGAGCCCAGATTTCTTACTCACTTTTCCTACCCACTCTCTAACTGCTGTGAATTGCAGTTGCACATCTCTCAATTCATAATAGAGATGTGTGGCTCCAATTCACAACGGATAGAGAATGGGTAGAAAAAATGAGTAGGAAATCACTAGTCGATTTTTCAAGCCCACAAGCTAACCATGCAAGTATACTCTTCATCCATCGTAATAGAAAGTGACTCTTTGGTAGTCGTCAACTTTCTTCAGGAAAGTATAAAGCTCCCCTGATGCCTTTCTCTGGTGGAGGATTTCAAACAATAGCCTACCACTTTGAAGCTCTAGAATCTCCTACAACCATACTCCTAGGAAAAAAAAATTGCTTTGTTGATTAGCTAGCGAATGAGGGTCATGTCCGTGAAGATAACTTCTCTTTATCTACACGACTTGTGAAACTTCAACTATCTAGTTAGGATGGATGTGGCAGGAAGACAGCTTCGTCGTGGTTTTTAAGAGTATCGTTTGCTTGTTCTCTTGTTATTCCGCCCCTTTGTTCTTTTCTTCTGCCTTTCTTCTTCTCAATGTATCAAACAAAAAAGAAACCTCAAGAGAGTATTCATCCCTCATTGATTGTTGTTGTTAATACATACATCGGTTAAATTCAAGGTTCGAAATTTTGACACGATATGGCATATCATATGGCAGTCTTTTTTAAGGATTGTTTGTCCAAATCTGTCAGTTTACCCGTAATCAAAATATTGAAGAAAAAAATTTAAAAAAAAAATAATTTTTATAACAATAAATTACTTGATACATGTGTTTGTGCATATCAAATATATCAATATTTTAAAATAACCAACTTAGGGGGTATTCTATAGCATAGATGAGAAATTGGGTGTGGTGTGGATGAAAATAAACCACATTCCAACAAGGTGGTTGTTCTACACCGTGAACAAAAATGTGTGGATTGATCCACACTACACCTCCATGTGCATTGGGTGTATCGGGCGAATCGCCCTATTTTTATATGTTTTTTTTTTTCTTTTTGCAACCGGTTCAGGGGGGTCGGTTTAGGTCTCCTCCATCCCCTGGACCAGTCAAACCCCCGATACACCCACTGTAGAGGCATATCGGAGGGGTGCTGGAACGATACGTATCGGTCGATATGTGTCGATTACTTTGAATCTTGATCTCAATTACAACATTTGAGATAATCTATGTCATCAATCATTAAAAAAACAATATATTATTTTTTGTAATATACACAATAAAAAATATTATTAAATTGCTAAGAATTTTAATAGTTAATAAAAATAATATTAGTAATAATTAATAATATCAATAACATTTAATAATTATTATTAATATTAATAAAAGTAATATTTGAAACTTAATCATTAATAAAATAATATTATTATTAATTAATAAACATGAGTAGCAGTGGCGAGTGGTTCAAAAAGAGAAGTGGTCGGAGGAGGAGTGGCGAGTGGTTCGAATTAGGTTTGTTAATTATACCCGAAAATCTAAGGCCTGATCTAACATCCGATCCGATTATCTCGGATTCAGATGATGTATTTATTTAATCGGATCAGATTCAGATGTTACAATCGATATCCGATTAAAATATGAAACCAATTATTATAATATTTATTAATTTTAATATATAAATTTTATATAATTATATTTAGAATTATAAAAATATATTATATATGAATTTATATATAATAATTTAGTATGTTATATTTATATTAATTTATTATATATAAAAGTTGAAAAATAAATAAATTTTATTTTTCTGATATTTTAGAAAATTTATAGCAGAGTCGAATTAAATTTGAATTCGATCCGAGTCGTTATGATTCAAATTCGAATCCAACCCGATTGGATTCAAATGTAGGTTCTCAATAATTGAATTGAATGTGGATTTTGTTGCATCTGATTTGAGTCCGATTCAATTACAACCATAGTTCAAATAGAGAAGAGTAGCAATGACGAGCTCACAAAGAAGTGTTGCAATGGTAAAAATAAAAGAGGTCTTATATTAGGGTTAAACAATCATGCGAAGTATGGGATCATTATTCTATATATAAAACAGTATTGTGTAGATGCTTCCACGAGATAAACCCGTGGATGAGAAAATGGATTGTGGTGTAAGCCAATCCATGAAATAGCATGGATCAATCCACACCACAGCCAACCGAACACATGGCACAGAGGTGGTGTGGATTGAAACTGAATACATCGTGACCAATCCACACCACCTTAGTGGTGGCTCGATTGATGTATAGACCGGGTAGTCCCGAAAGTGAAGTGGTTTCGAGCCCTGCTATTAGTTCCCAATTTCCCACCATAATACCTTTGAGAAGAATTGCGGAAAAAGTGAATTTACATCAAGTATAAATGAAATGCGGCCCCTATGGGGGCAAAAGACGATGATTCGAATTCAATAAAAAAAAAACACTTTGAAGGTCAAATCCCACTGCCATGGGATCGGCTTCGGTGAATGCAACGCCCATTCAAACAGCCTTTAGATTCTTGCATTGGGAATATCTCCGCACTTATGTGATTTATTTTACGAAGAAGTATGGATACACCCGATGCAGATTTCTGAATTCCAGCCCCCCCTACTAGCCCTCTCCCCCCTATAAACCACATCCTGCCCGTGAATTTGGCATCAATTCACGGTCAGGATGCATTCCCCCTGTACTTTGAGACTATAAAATTCTGATCTGGGCTGATTGGTCATTCTCCCTTTATTTTATGGGGAGATATTCCCAATACAAGGGTTACAATAGGTTATTTGAACGGTGTGATCACAAGCTTGCACTGATGGAAGCTGAACTCGACTGCCACCATGGTTTGGGGTCATGGGTAGCGGGGGGATGGGTTGATCTCTGAGTTTCCGTTGGATAGCCCAATGGACAAAAAAGAAAAGATGCTATAATTGTAAGGAAAGAAGTTATTATCTATATATTTCTGTTGTTGCTTGGTTATGAAACCCCGCTGATTCAGGGAATCTGGACTTACAGTTAGTTCTAGGCATGGAAAGCAAGAAGAAAGGAAAGAATTAGGAACACGAAAAGTATAAGCGCAAGGGAACCCGCTTGATAGGGGTTGCAGCGTAACGGCATGAGATTGAGAATTGAGATAGTTCCTTTATTTGCCTTCTTCCTCAAATGTTACTTTTCAGAATTTAGGGGAATAATTTTGCTTTCATTTTCACCCTAATGGCTATTTAGCAAGTAGACCTGTTCATAAGCCAGGCTTAGATTGATCTTTTGCCAAAATTTTAATGGAGCCCGGCCTAAAGCCTAAACTCAACATAGTATAAGTTAGGCCCAAAGCCAGGCCCGTGAACAGGTCTAGTAACAAGAGAGCTGCAATGTAGAAGTGTGTACCAGTTTCACATGCTGGCCATAGTGATATGCAAGCTAAACTATTCTTTCATTCAACCACTTGCATCAAATCCCCATTCCAGATTCCAGGGCTCATCTTTTGGGTACAACCGGTCCCTCTATCTAATTGTAAATGTATCTAATCTTGTTGTCTTTTAGTACCCTTTATGCATGAACTCATGCTGATCGACAGATGTATCTCATTCCTTTACTATGGAATAAGATTCAAGATTTAGATACGATAATGTACATCTGGGGTTTTGATACACAGATGTTTCAGGATCCCTTGTTTTAATAAAAAAAAATGCTATTATATCGCTTCAAAAACAAACTAACAAAATATTAAAGCGGGTGTTTCTAAGGACTGATATGATTCCGTTGATACACGTATTTTGAACCTTCTTATGAAATGGAATGGAGCATATACCTCTATCATCTTTACTAAATAAATATTTGCCATGGCTTCATCATAAGAAATTTCTAATTTCAATAAAAAATTGATGTGTTCATTCTGAATTTGGATTTATTCCACACAAAGTATACCTCACAATGCATTGCAGCTGTGTGTATTAAGCTCAATTTGGAGGAGTACAAACACAAATTTATAGAATGTACAACCTTATATTTTGTATATACGCATTTGTATTTATATTCCATAACATAACATAAAATGGCGTGAGGAGAAAATCTGAGCTTACTCATCCGACCTCTCACATTTCACCAACTATTTGGCAGCGCCAAATAATTCTTGGTTTGATCCTGACCCTACAAGGAATAGACCTTATCGAAATTTTGATATGCTTGCACATGACCCTTCAATTCTATTGGTATTGGTTGTAACATTATCCACTTGGTGTTACAAACTAACGCCCGCCCCATTCGCCCATCTTTACCAAATATATGCTATTCTCTCGTGTTGAATTCCAAATTATCCAACCTATTAATAATATCTGTGAAACTAAACCACTACATGCTCAACTCTTGGGGGAAGTTGTTTAAATCATTCACCCATTTCTACTTCACTTTATTGGTTTTTTAGTTTAATTTATCAATAGATCCAACGATACGATTCGGTTTGAATAAAACAAATTTGGATGCGTAGGTATATCCAATTTGTTGCGCACATATAAACATGTTGGGTGGAATAGTTGGGCTGAAGGTGCAGACATTCGTTCCTAGAGTCCTAACTACCTTAGTTATGAGTTTGTTGCGTTAGGCTTTCTTATATACCTTATCCTAAATCCTAATCCGTGTTTAAGGATATTTGTGCCATTTACTCATAAGTCATTTTAATATTTAAATGGACACATGCATGGCTCAAAGTAGGATACATCATCCCCCAGCGGCTGTTGGGGGTCGAGTTCAGATCTGTGCCCCATAATGCCCCACATCACATCTCCATTTACTATTTTTGGAAATATTTCCGAATGACAAGTACGAGAGATGATGAGACATCATCAGGATCAGGAGATATTCTCAATACAAACTTAAGATGTGTTGTGGGGCATTGTGGGGCGGCAGATGTAAACTTTTGGGACTTATTGGGATAGTGTTGGGAGCATTTTGTTGATGGTAGATTCCTTCCCATTTGAAATATTTTTTGGGCATGACATGTTATCACTTATCATGAGTGTGGCGCAAAAGAGTAATTGTGTTTAATATTCTTTTAACCAAAAAGACAAATAAGGGACTGAATGGATTGAGGTGTTATGCAAAAACAGCTCAGGCTATTGGCCTCCATCGGCCAAAGTTTTTCCGAGGCATTTTGTTGGTAGTAGATCTCCAATTCTTTTTTTAAATTGCTCAAGGGGGTCAGTTTAAGATTTATTTACCTCTTGAAATTGGTCAAAATCGTATCGTATCAAAATTTTAAACTTTAAACACATTAGACTTATTGATAAAATGAGAAAAGATTCAAAAAAAAGAGGCAAAGTGGTCTTAAATAATGTATTTTGATCTGTTTGGTAGGGAAAACGAATTCCTACTGAATCTTTGCTTAGTAACGTTGGTACATCGAACTACCAAATCTAGCGACCCTTACTAGTTTGATAAAGCCTAGTTCTGGGCCTCTGGCCTCTCTCTAGCTCGCACTGTCCATCCTATTGTTTGGTGCTCTTTCCTCTTCTCTCTACCAAAAAAAGAAAAGGAATCACAGTTAAGAGGCTAAGAGCTGAAAATCAATGTCATCTGCTGTCTCTAATTATTTAATTGGATTTATACCAGACAAGATGTTTAAAATGGTGAGGGCCATTGGTTTGTGGATCTCAGGCTCAGCTGACTCAAAAGTCACGATCCATGGCCCAAGCCCATGGGCTTTGTAGTCATAGGAACTCATTGCTTTTGCTTGGAAATGATAAGATGTATCGTTCATATAAACATTATGTATACAAAACAGCATCAGATCACATCCATCATATCGATCCACGTGGTGACGCAAGGAATTAGGGCATAGTACACACAAAGAAAAAGAAAAAGAAATACCGAACAAGTAGTAGATCTGTAGATAGAGATAGATAGATCGGCCAGGAAAGAAAGGAGGGTGGGGGGTTCTGGACTTCTCGCGCCAGCGCCACATTCCACATCTTACTGCGAAGAACCAGTATTTCTCTCCTCTCAACTCCACACGTGTCCTTCGCTCCCCTCTTCTCTCTTTCTCTCTCTCTCTACTAATTTTAGCGTTTGATTTCCTCCTCTCTCTCTTTTATTTCCTTTCTCTCTATCAATTTCGTTTCTCGCTCTCCCTCTCTCTCTCCGGGGCTCAATTTCCCTCTCCCTCTCGGATTCGGTTTCCTCTAAAAACTTATTTACTCCTATTTTTTTTTTTTTTTTTCAATTGTGTTCTCTGCAATCCATTTGTATTGGGTGCTCCTACTCCTTGTCTTGGTTCCGAACCGAAAATCTTGAGATTTTATTTGTTGGAAATCTGATTAAGTTTTCTTTCGGCAGTTCTAAGCTAAGTAGATCTCTTTTATCTTGTCCCCACTTCTCCACTCATCGATTCTGTTCGTTTGTACGGTAGGTTTTTGGTGCTCTTCATCTTCCTTTCAAGAATCGGAGACAGCTATTGGTTGGTTTTTATTTGGTTCTCGCCGAAATTGAAGAGGTTGGTTTTTCCTCCCTGTTCGAACAACATATTCGTTTCTTCGCCTGTATTAGTTATCATAACCCTAGTTTTGATCTGGTTACAGAAGGAAAAAAAAAAAGAAGGGAAAAAATCAGAAAAAAGAAGATACACGTGAGCTCCATTTATTTTGTTGATTTATACTTGAATTTTGGCTTTTCGTTTTCTTCCATTTTTTCATTGATTGTAGCTGTTGTTAAGTTCTAAAACAAGAAACTCGGTGAAATTTTTGGTGCTGTGTTTTTGTTGTCATCCGAAATCGAGGGTTTTCTTGTCGGATCTTCTAGGGTTTAGGTTCCGTATTTCTGCTTCCTAGGGTTTGGTTACCTTCTATCCACTTTCTCCTCTTTACCTCTTAAAAAAAAATTATATATATACCAACCTCTACGTCTTGGAAGGAACTACCGAGTTTAACTTTTGTGTATGTAGGGATGACCTTGAATTTTTCTCACCGCCCCATCTTTCCTGCTACTGGTCCTTCCGAAAACAATTTGTTTTCCTCAATTAGAATTGCCAACGGGTACGTTGTGGAGGGAATCCCAGAGAAAAGAGGGGATGGCTTCGGTAAGCCCCGGCATTTCAACTGGGAATTTGAGAATTCCTACGATTACGTAAGGGATAGAGGTGAAAGGGGTGGCTCACGTGAGCCAATTTCCAATGACATTCTGGACCTTCTGCCACCCGATCCCTTTGGGATGGATATAAGTGCTACTTTTACTGCCATCACTGGTTGGATCGAGGATTTTGAAGCGGATTCTGACAACCTTGAAGGAGGCGAAGCTGGGGGAAAGAAAGAAGACTATCAGTTGGTTGCCGGATTGAATTTTATCTGGAACCGGACAATGAAGTTTCAAGCGGAGCCAGAGAACACAAGGACTGATGACAGATCAAATCCATTTGGTAAGTTTGATGTAATGTTGGATGATAAAGAATTAGGAGATGGTTCGTGCGATGGTGGATTCACATCGGTGTGTAACATGGAGGAGTTCCTTAGTTTTGGCGATGATGATCTTTGTGTTGCTAGTCATCAAGCCAAAGACTCGGTGGAGAGCAGTAAAACTTGTTATGATGGAGCTGATGGAGCTCCTCATGAGGCTTTGCTCTATGTGCTGGGTTATTTGGGTGTGCAGGATCTCCTTTCTGTTGGAAGGGTTTGCAGATTACTTCGTTATGCAGTTGAAGATGATTCCCTTCTCTGGAGAAATATTCACATTGATCAGCCACTTAGTGAACGTATGACTGATGATGCTCTTTTACAGCTAACTAATAGGGCTCAAGGCAATTTGCAATGTTTGAGCTTGATTGAGTGTCCAAGGATCACAGATGATGGTCTAAGACGTGTGCTTGAAGGCAATCCAAGGCTAACAAAGGTTAGTACTTTTGACATATTTTTAGCTTGTGTGCAAAATCGATTTTCATTCTGATATTAAGTTCATGAAATATGAGTTTCCTTTTATTTGTAGGATATTCATTGGCAATTTGTCATCATTGATCCTCTCCTATTGCTTTAGATTTATACTCCCAGGAACCTTTTAAGTACTGACCATTTTGGTCACATTTGCAAATTTGTAATATCTGTTGGTAGTGTTTTGTGTCCATGATACTAGATTTTATCATATAACGTTTACGGTCCAATCTGTATGCTCGTCTCGAGTGTTCTTTCAGATTTTTGAAGGCCAATTGTTCATGAGAATGGCTAGTTATACCACTGCTTGGAAATCACAATTTTGAAATAATATGTTTGACATATTGGCAAGAATGTACTTATCTTTTCCATATCTTTGCACTTCATGCTTTTGTGTTCTTTGTCTAGAATGAGAATTAGCCTTTAGTCTGATTAGTAATCAGCCAATAGAATTGCATGGTGCAAATTTACACAACAGGAAGAAATTCACTACTTGCCAAAAAAATATTTAGGATATAAATTAAAAATGTGTATGTTCCACCTTAGATTTTCTACACTATCATCATTCCATGGCTTTCCCTTTACAATAGAAAGTATATAGGGCTTACTTTTCAGTCTTAAGCTGTTAAGGTCATTTTTAAGCCATGCAGTGAAAATGGTCCTTAAACACTCCACACAGGGATATACTGTCAAAGCACCCTATATCTATATCTATATCTATATCCGTATCTATCTATATATTAAAATTTTGTTTGTAAGTTCTATTCACACTATCAGCATTCCACAGCTTTTCTCTTTAGAATCAAAAGTATAAGGGGATTCCTGTTCATTCTTGAGCTGCTAAGGTATGATCATTTTTAAGCTATGTCTGTGGTTATTGGCTCTGCAACACCCCATTCTTTGGATAATAGAATCACATTTGGGCATCTATTTTTGTGAGACTAGCTGGTTGATTTGATTCTACTCTGTTCAGTGCCATATAATTTTAGCCTTTTCCCAACTAAATAGGGTCAGTTACATGAATCCTGTTATGCCATTCTACTCTGTTCAGTGCCATATAATTTTAGTCTTGTCCCTAGCTATAGCTCTAGACCTTTCACTGGTGCTGTAGATAGTCATCTCTGCACGCCATCAAACCATCTTCTTAGTCTATTTTCCTTCATTTTATCATCAATTGGGACTACTACTACATTCCTTCAAATAATTCCATTCTTGATTCTGTCCTTTCTGTTTTTTTAGAAAAGATAAGTATAGATATTTCACTACTATCAACATCCCTGTACAGCAAGAGGATGTACAAAGGGAAACAAAAAACCTTCCCCAAAAAGTCTTACAGAGCCACTATCCCTTGATTGTTTACAAAAGGAGTTTCAAGAGCAAAAAAGACATTTCTTTCTTTAAAATATTCAGCCATGATAGTGTATCATAGTAATTTTCCAACAACTTTTGGAACACTGTATCAGCTGAACACTGTCGATTGCAGCTGATTCTTCCATTTCATTCTTGCCATATGACCCAGAAAATGGCTGCCCAATAACGCTCCAAACAACTTTCCCTTTTCGAATCAAACCTTCCTGGTACCATCAATCTATTAATTCCTTCACTGTTTCTAGACAGCACAACCACCTCTTGCCCCGAACGTGGCCAAAACTCTGTTTCTGATCGATACAGAAAAGTACAATGAAGAAGTAGGTGATCTACTGACTCAATGGAACCTTCACAAAACATAGCAGGAACTTCTTGCCCCTCCGGTCCTTTCTGGTTTTCCCACTCATCCATCCCAATATACACATTTTTGCTGCACTCACTTTTTGATTGGCTAACAATACTAAGCTCCATAATCTGTACCAAGAATAAATAAATGATAACACTAAGCTCCATAGAACATTGCTGGCCTTGTAACCATTATATAAAATTTTCCCTTTAGATTAAGCAACTTCTATCACACAGAACTCCTGATGCAACCCTATTTTGCCCATCCTACTCCAAGTTTATGGACAGCATCCTCCTTAATTTCTCCTTGTTATGGATTATTGAACCAAGGTACCAAAAAGAGGTCACATTGAGATATCTATTGGTCTCCAATCCTAAGTATACCCTGATTATGACTCCTATTACCATTAAGGCCCCATTTGGTTCGTGGGAATAGAGGTCTGAGTCGGAATTGGAATGGGCTATTCCCCCATTTGAGGGAATGGCCATTCCCTGCCTCTCCCTTGGGAATGAAATCCCATTCCTGCTGATTTCAATTCCCATGCCCATTCCTGTCTGAACCAAACAGACTATGGGAATGGACCATTCCAATTCCGATTCTGGAAGATTTCGATTCTGATTCCGACTGCGAACCAAATGGACCCTAAATTTCTATTGCATAAATTGTTTTACTCCTATCTGTAAATTTCAAGGCATTTGTCCATAAATTGCATTTAATCCTTCTCTGATTTCATCAATTCATAGCACATCACTTGTAATTCATGGGACAACAAAATATATATGCTCTTAGCAATGAAGCGGAAAAGAGAGAGAGAGAGAGAGAGAGAGAGAGTATGCTCTTAGCATGTCTTCCTTATGTTGTATGTTGCACTGTGTAGTCTAGGTGGTTATTATTTTCCTCCCCCAAATATCTAGATGCTGCTGGGTTGAAACAAATGGATATATTCCTATCAACATTTACTTGGTGATCATTCCTTAACTTTTTTTGCAAGCCCTACTTCAGAAGAACAAAAAATGTTGATCAATACCATTGAACATTTATTTAGTGACCATTCATGTGGTGCCGACTGTTTTAGAAGTTCTGCAACAATGCCCCTTTACTATCACCTTTGAGAAGAACTGAAATGTTCTTTTTCTGGCTCCTTTATTTTGCCTTTACCTTATTAATTATTTATGGGGGGATTTCGAAATGTGTGAATGTATTTATGCTCTGAATTTCACTTGATGCCCCCTCCGCCTAACACAGTGTATACTTAAGATTGTTCTATTTGGTTTTGGCATTGTGTTTCTGTTTGACAGCCTAACATTGCCTTTCTCATGCAGCTGAGTGTGCCAGGTTGTACAAGACTTAGTGTGGAGGGCATTGTAAATAACTTGAAAATTTTGAAGTCTTCAGGTGCACCAGGGATAAGGTACCTAAGAATTGGTGGCCTTTATGGTGCAACACATAAGCACTTTGAAGAGCTAAAGCTCTTGTTGGGGGCAGAAAACCATCTACAATCTAAAACTCACAAGCCACGATTCTATCACAATGGATACTTGTCTCTTTCTTCTGATGATGACCGTGCCATTGATATTGAGAAGTGTCCAAGATGTCAGAACTTGAGACTAGTCTATGATTGTCCAGCAGAGGGCTGCCAAAACAAACAGCCTACTTCTCAGTTATGCAGGGCGTGCACACTCTGCATTGCCCGGTGTGTCCAATGTGGGCGGTGCATAAATGATAGTGAGTACGAGGAGACCTTCTGTCTAGACTTGCTATGTTCGAACTGTTGGAAACAACTGCTGAAGTGCCAAGAGAGGCAGGAGGAGAAGGATGCTTTCTCGTCAAAGCACACCATCTTCCACCATGAGACACAGTACAAATTTCGCTTTTGTGGCTAGAGTGGCATTATATATTCATTTTGGCTTTAGATGATGGATGAGAAGATCTCTGATTTGTAGTCCGGATATTAAACCAAGTAGATGGAAGCCAGTCATGTGAGTTGATTCTTGTGTTTCTGATAAAGGAGTTTTGAAGTCAGCAGGTCCGTGTTGGTTTCTCATCTGGGTCGATACTGGTTTGGTCGGGATACCTTGGGTTCTATAGCACCCAAGTTTACTGTACTTTTTACGAAAGAAAAAAAAAAAAAAGAACAGAAGACTATAAAAAGAGAAAATAGAATATTAAGATTTCGGGAAAAAAAAAAAGATATTTGAAGAGGAAGAACGGGAGAATGGGAAAAAGAGCATATCGGGCACAGAAGTGGCTCAGCATGAGTTTTTCCTTCGACTGATTTGAGTTTTGTCATAGAAACATGTTCTAATAAGAGCCAGTGGAACGGGGTGATTTATGTGGTTTTGTTTACAGAGAGGGGAGGTGACTTGTGCATTGCTGTCGAAATGGGAAGTCAGCTATGCCATTGACGAGGAAACGGAGAAAGTGCAGCACAAGTATTCTACCGTCTTTTGTTTTATGTAAAGTTTTTGCCAGTATTCTACTATGATACTGGTGTGCTTCCATTAATTTCTGCAGACTGCAGGCATTGTGTTGTTGATGATGCTGAAAATACCTTTTATTTCAAGGGGAAGTATTTCACTCTTACTCGGGGGATGTGGCATCGTTTGTCACTTTTGCAGCAGCAGTTGGCATGGTGCAGGATGGCAGGATGCTATTGAGCAGCACCTACATTTCTGGAGACTGGAACAAAATATTATTCTGGGAGGATTTCTTATGTTGTTGTAATATTGTGGGTCTTCTTCTCTTCAGTCTTTTTAATATATGTGTATAAGTTGATGTTGTGTTTGTCTGGGGACTTGGGTTGGTAAACTAGTGATGTCTAGTTTTTGTTCAAGTTAATCCCGGCAAAATGGTGGTATGACATCTAGCCAATCTAGTGATGTCATCTGCGACTGACTGAGATCGCTTGGATGCCATTCCCTATGAATAGGGGCGTAGGACTAGAAGTCTTGTTATGTGTTATTCTGGTACTTGGCATGGAGGTAATAATGATGCATTGATGATTGGCAGTGCAAATAGTGAAATAGCGTTTTCTGTTCCCGTTGCCACTGGAAAATATGATCGATGACCTCATTGTATGTGTGTGTTTTGTTGGAAGCCTATGGACCTTATTGTGTTGGAATACGAAGATTTATTCAAATTCGATCATCAATAAGATGATCATTGTCCATTCAATTCAGTATGTATGACTGACCGCATCTTCGTGCTTTTTTTTTTTTTTTTCAATTTCACACTGTTGTGAACTCCCTTTATTATAGTGTGATTGATGACTCGTGTTCTTCTTGGGGCTTAAGTTCCCGTGGGCGTTGACGTTGTATACTTTTGGTTTTGCCATTATTTATAATAATGCCCCCCGATTAAAAACTAAATAAAGAGCACTGCCGTGGCTTCTGTGCCGCAGTCAAAACAAATAACCTAGAAATATTTCTTCTCTAGTTTATTGTTTATATTTATTTTTATATGTTGGTTTCCTTATTTCATTTACTTTAACGCGCACGTTCCTTATTTATTTGGTAAATATGCCCACGTTCTGAATTTTGGATATTATGATCAATGTAGCAAGTGTCAAAGCATGAGCAAGAATGAGGTGACATTGCATTTGATTGCAATTTGTTGAATTTTTGTGTCATGATGCTGTTTTTCATCTTTGATCTCATTGAATTGAACCATCCGGAGTTCCCAACAAATCTATGGGCGTGCTATCCATATATCACAACACGTCTTAATATTATCTTACCTACATTGCAATACCGATATTTTCAACTTCGGCAGGGAGTATTGGTGACATCTTGGGACTTGGGGCATTTGACAACAAGTGAATTTACATATTACAATGGTTGGACACCATGGAATAATCACTGCATAAATGATATCATGTCACTAATACGGATCAGACTGGCCACTGGCTGCAAGGTGCCAAGTGCCAATCAGCTGGTTGCCAAGTGCCAATCTGTTAGTTGTAGCAAAGACTTGGGATCAAATCCCGCCTGCATCTGGGCTGGGGGGATGTTATGTATTAGGGGATGGGGCTATCCGCAGTTGTGATAAATGTTACAAATACATCCTACGTCACCTACCTAGAATCTCACCTCAGGCTCACAGGTAATGTCTCTACCTGGTGGATTGTGGCAGAGTCTTGGGATCGAATCCCACCTTCACTAGGGATAGGGAAGAGCTTCTCCTTATTGCCTAGTTCATTTGCCTACCAAAAGAATATTATAACATATTGACTGAACTGATACAGTTTGATATGCATTAGATTTTTTGGCTTACCAATAAAATGTGGCACGGGCAGAATGGTTTTATTTCGATGCTAGCATCAGCCAATAAATTGATAGTCAACTGTTATAATAATAAATCGTCAAAATGGAAACTGAACTGTCACAAACTGTCATGAACCCATATTCAACCATTACAAAGCGGTTTATACTTGCACATCTCGAATTTGAATCGGTTCAAAAAATCATTACATATCGGTCGATACATATCGTATCAGGAGCACCCCGATACACCCCTACAAAGGGTGTATCGGGGTTTTGACCGTTCAGGGGGTAGAGGAATCTTAAATCGGTCTCCCTGAACTGGATTTGAAAAAAATAGTACCGATACTACCTGATACGCCCCTACCGGTAGAGGTGGCAATGAGCCAAGTATATATATATATGAAAGGATGGTAAGATCCATCATATGGATGCCAAAAGGTTGCGGAATGGGTGGGTGAATTTCAAAAATTTCTGACCACCCTTCCAACTAGGAATCATATTCCCTGAATTTTCCAGGATTTATCTTGAATCAAAACCGAACCAATTCTGAACCAGAAAGAGAAGGGAAGGGATATACCTGATCCGGAGAAGTAGTATCTTCCAACGTTGGTGTTCACGCCCAAAGAAAATCCCAATAACTACTCCCACTGAAGATGACACAGCGATGATGGAGTAGAACCAGTAGTGTTTGTCCCACGAACCAGATTCTTCTGAAGAACTCGATGGAAGCAGAGAGCACCACACAAAATCAAGAACTTTTCTTGATCTTCCTTCACAGAGAACTCGAACTGGCAGTAGATGGCGACGGCTGCTGGAGGAGAAAACTAGAGAAGAAGATGGCAAACTGCTTTTTCTTCTCTAGGGTTTCTGAGATCCTATCTCAAAGTTGCAGAGTGTTCTACGAAATCCCTAGGGTTCGAATTCTAGTAATTCGAAATTAGGGTTTCTCCTCTTTTCCTTAGTGATTAAGAAACCTCTTAATCCCATTAGGAGTTATCATAATCCAAATCTGTATTTGGATAAGGAGTCTTCTTAATCCTATCTGTAGATTAGATCATCCCACTCCTAATCTTATCAAGAGGTTACCATATTCAAATCCTAATTTGAATTTGGTCTCCATGAGTGGATAGGGTTAAGACCCAATCCTTTTGGCTTGACCTAATCTCAGATCCGCCCCTTTAAGTGATTGATCAAATCAGCCCAGTTCGAAATGGGCTTTAGGCCCAATAAGTATTAAGTGCTCAATAGGCTTCCAAACTGCTGCCTAGTTGGGCTTCTCTG